ATTCCCCACATGGGTACAATGTGTGAAGCCCATTTCTGTTGTCTTCCGCCGTGATGTTGCTGGAATATTGCTAAAAGCGACGTTAAACCATACTCACTCACTCACTTTAGCATCAGCACTCTTCTGGAGACGGTTGTGTGTCGGAACGTACCCACGTCAGAGGTCGGCGCGAGATAGGCGTGTTAGTAGCTGACAAAGTGACACCGACTACGCGACCTACAAACCAATAACTGGCATGCACCTGTGCATTATCCTTGATGACAGCAGGTATCTGTTCCCATCGCTTACGTGTATAAAAATGAAGCTGGCAAAGTGACAGTTACGCGACCTACTTAAAAAATAACTAGCATGCACCTGTGCAATAACGATGATGCTGGCAGCACTTATCGGTTCCTATCGCTTACATGTATATAAATGAACGGGCATGAATGTAATTAGCAATGCCTGTAAACTTGGGATATTGAGTTGGAGTGTCACTGCTCCCAAACAATATGGAATTAATATTTTACATATGTAACCTATTTCAGATTAAAATATCGGTCGGCAAACACGAAATGTCTTGTACACTCCTTGTTGAGGTAATTGATTTAAATTATGGATTTTGTATTTTGCCTCCTTTGATATACGGTAATCTTCGGATATCGCAAAATTTCGGCAAAAGCTAGCAATGTCAAACAGAGCGAACTATCCTTATCCCTGGACAGGATTTGCGAAAGTTATATTTTGAACAAAATAATGCTCATTTCAATCACTGGATTGCCTGGTCCTGACTCGATTATTTACAGACCGCCGCCGTGTAGCTGGAATATTGCTGAGTGCGGCGTTAAACAAACCAACAACGAACTGCAGAATATCTTCATTTACTTTAATAAAATAAACCCCGTCTAGATAACAGTAGGAATGTCGAACTGGCTATATTCCTGTGAAATAAGTGTAGCGGCCATAAACTGTCAGAGTCAAGTGATGTGATTCGAACTACAGGGACCTTCTGATCCGAGGTGGGACGCCTCGTCCACGTGACCAAAGAGGTTAACCCTCTTCAGCAAGCTGACAAGGATGTCATATGTGCGAAGACTCCACGCCGTTACATAAGCATTAGAAAGAAAAAAATATTACAGAAATGTATTACTGATAAAATATATTTATTACTTGCCCGTGAAGAGATCACCCGTTTAATAAACATACAGCTGTATTACACATTGTGTAATACCAAAACGCGTGCTTTTGTAGTCTCGGAACACGTTTCACGAACAAATATTGAAAGCTCTCAACATCCCTTGGCTTATTCAACGACATTGCGTGTGGAGTTGATAGATCACTGAGAGGAGCTTATGCACACTCGATGACCCCAGCAACCTTGTTGCTAGGCTGACGTCACATGGCATTGTTTCGCCGATGGATCTTGCAACAAAATTCCACAAATTACGTCATCGGGTATTGTGACGTTATTGTAAACTTTGAGGTGCAAGGCCCGTTCCACAAGGCGATCGTATTGTAGCGCAACGACAGTCATTAGTCTATTAAAGTATGTGATTTGCGATAGTCTTAGCCCTACGATAATTTTGTGAATTCTAAAGGTGAGGTGAAATTGGGTTTAACGTCGCGTCCAAGATTATTACACTTATATAGCGACGTGCATGCACGTGTGTGTGGCTGCTTGTACTAGTCCGGACTGATGCCGATTTATAGTGCTAGTTTACTGAGATACCATGCCGCAGTTTAACATGAATACCCCACTCAGACACAGTATACTGACTCCGAGCCGACCAGTCCTTGTTTTAGCCCCTTAATGTCGAGCGCCAGACAGGGTAACAACAAGTACCATCTTTTAACGTCTTTTGGTATGACGCGGCCGGGGATCGAACCCCGGACCTTCCGCTCTCCGGGCGGACGCTCTACCACAAGACCACGGAGGCGGCGAATTCTAAAGGTGGACCGTTGTTTGGAATTAAATTCATACGTTTCAACTTTTGACGTGTTTGAAGTATTATTCTGTTAAACTCAATTTGACTATGCCGTTGATCGTGTGGGTGTCAGCCTATGCTACTCAACAGTATAATTCTAAAAACGTTATAAATGGCAAGTAATAAATAAAATACTAAACTCGCTCCCGTGTAAAACCAATTATATGAAACTCGTGAATAGTTGTGGTATCTGACTCGCTTTCGCTCGTCAGATACCACAACTATATTCACTCGTTTAATAAAATTGGTATTACACGGGAACTCGTTTAGTATTCTATATATACTTTTTATTGGTCTTCTACCCACTGGCTACAGAAAGGGACGAGTGCTGACGAATGCATCTACAGTGATATACTGCAGATGTTCCCTAGTCAAACCACTTACCTTGAACACCCGTCTCCTGTATTCACGTCAAGGTATAGGGGAGTGTGTCATTCGAGTCACCTCCTCCTCATCAGCTGCCTAGGTCAGCATCGAAATAAAAGCGAGAAAACCCTTTCCATATTCATGAGAAATATCTACCAAAAATTCACAACAAAATGGCGGCAGTCCAGGTCCTTGTACGAATGCTGCTTGGTAAAGTTATTTCCATCGGTCGGTTAGGAAACAAACAACTGTCCATCCATCACAAACACTTCAGTATCTGTGTCATGGATGTGAGAGCCATAATGATGACAGCATGTGTCGGGGAATATCGGCCCCAGATGATAATAGGGCATGTATACGAATACACTGACATAACACATTATATAGCCAAGGCAATGCAAAACGTGACCGGAATCACCATCACCGATCGGATTTCGTGCTTTCATGAACAAAAGTCTTGCATTACTGTATATATCATTTTGGATAAAAGGTAGGAGGCTTTAAATGAATTAGTTCTATATTGTTGGCATTTGAAACCTCTGGATGACGTCGTCGGTTTCAAATGAAATGTCCGGACATCAAAGTATCGATAACACACGAAGATCTGAAAACATATGTTTATGTCTTGTTAATGGGAAAAAATGGTCTTAAACCTCCTATGACGTCATACTTTTTTTCTTCAGGGGAATTAAAATATCATAATCGGGGATGTTATCTTCTGATTAACTGTTCTAAAAATGTGTTCCGCTCCTGGGGTTCGAACCCTTTTACATTGCATGACTTGTCACTAATAATTGTAAACTCGCTACAACTTTGGCCGCTTGGGCCAAATGAACTGTTGGAAAATATTTTAAAGTTATACTTTGGAGAGTTACCACTGACAGTGTATGATACCGTATGTTGTTATTTTCTAAATTATCAGAACGATTCAAACACGGACACATTAGCAACCCCGTTTTTGAAAGCAAAAACTCAGTACCAGTTAGATCCGAGGTTTTCAGCAACCCATGATTGCTGTAAAAGGCGACTATGCTTGTCGTAAGAGGCGATTAACAGGATCGGGTGGTCAGGCTCGCTGACTTCGTTGATGTCATCGATCCTAATTGCGTGGATCGATGCTCATGATATTAATCACTGGATTACCTGGTCCAGACTCGATTATTTACAGACCGCCGTCTTATAGCTGGAATATTGCTAAGTGAGGCGTTAACAACAAACCAACTTACCAGTACGTGTTGTCACGAGAAGGTCGTGTTGCACGTGCGAAATTGACAAGGCGCCGATTGAGTCAAATTTTCTATTTTGTAAACAAGTTAACTCTCGACCCGTGCATGCAACTCGTGCCCCATGTCTTCGACTGGTTTTCGTTTACGAAAATGTGTACGCAGATATTCATCTTTTTAAACCATCTTAAATCGCAAGTGTATATTTGATAAAACACTTTCCCTCGGATTTGTATGAGATGTAACACCCTCATCCCCAGACTTTTATCCCCCAGGTGATGCTTTAAATTTCACAAAAAAAACATCTTCTGTACTTCATCTTTCATATAAAATACATGGTCTAGGTAAGTTTTATCCAGTTCGATGTCAAAACACTAACTGATCGAGAACAAATGTTAAACACGCCTTACTATCACTTACGACTTTCCGTGTCTTTGCAAGCGAAGAAAGAAGAGTCCCTCGTCTGCTACGATACCCCACTATTTTGTGCGCATGGGCGAAATACTCTCAAACCAGATGGTCCTACGACAGAAACAAGCCGCGAGTGTGTAAGCTCGTGACAAGAAAGCTGTTAACGCATTGAGAGAAAAAAACTCTCACCTTTTCTAAAGGAAAGAAAACATCATGAACATTGGACTTTCTTAATATCAACTCAAAACCTGCTAGTCACACATGATACAGTCCTAAGACCAATTCACCACCCACCCATAATAAATGACCAGTCTATATGCACTCTTATACTTGTATTTATGTATATATACTGCCGGGATATTGTGACTGCAGAGCCACTGAAAAAACGGCGTCACTCGATGACTTGCTTCATCCATTACTGGTTAGAATTGGTCAACACTAACCAATGACTGCCGTACGGGTTGTTAGACTCGGAGACTTGTTTGATAGCTTGAGTAAATGTACATCGTGGACTGCTGCTCATAACATCAGTCACTGGTTTCGAGGCCGACGATATTGTGCACAACAAACACACCCAACAGGCATGTCCCCACTACAGCACTCTTGCAGTGCTATCATTAGTTGATGCATTGCCATCACTTCCGAGGGGAGATGTATGTGTAGCTTCATGGTGGAAATACAAGTCCACGAAGTTTAGACAGTAGAGGGGCGGACGGGTAGCCTAGTGGTTAAAGAATTCGCTCGTCACGCCGAAGACCCGGGTTCGATTCCCGACATGGGTACAATGTGTGAAGCCCATTTCTGGTGTCCCCCGCCGTGATATTGCTGGAATATTGCTAAAAGCGGCGTAAAACCATACTCACTCACTCACTTAGACAGTAGAACGTGTCAACATGGTCAATGTGTGCTGCGCCAAGCGATCCATATAATAACAATAAAAACAACAATAATAATAACAAAAATGATGTCGACGACAATACTACTACTACTACTACTACTCCTACTACTACTACTAATCAAGAAAATAGAGTTGACAAAATGTATATCATATATTAAACCAACAATCAAGACTCTTTGATAACTACAGGGTGAAAAGAAGTAATACATGCAATAATCCTATGGTCAGCATCAGAATTAAACATGATGGATCAAACAAGCAGTCGGATAAATAATAAGCGATAGTGGATCAGTTTGGTTTAATGCCGCTTTAAATAGTACTGCAGTTATATGACGGCGTGTCAGCTTGATGTGGAAGGAAAGTCTGAAGGCAGCCTTTTGTTCAAATGACGTAATGTTATCAATTTGTGGCGTCATATACAATACATCATATCGTCATATCGTATTTATCCTGAACAATTAAGCACTGTGACGTAAAATGACTTCAATTGACCAATCAACATTGAGAATTGCTAAAATGCACATGTGCACTATATCATAAAGTTATTACACGCCGACATTCTACCCTAATTAAGAAAAAAAAGACGAGTGGGAGTTGTTTATCGTACAATAAAACGTTGCACGGAGAATAAACCATGAGTAGTTTATTTCTAATATGACATCTTGTACAGCATTCTTAAGGATGTCAAGAAAATGTACAAGCATTAAATACATTAACCGGTATTGAAATAATGATGACTCCCCGAATACAATCTGGCCTCGGCAATGTCGGTCAAGTCCATTTATGTACAGGGGGGCTATATTTGGTATTTCCCTGATATTCTCACAATTTTCAAGTCAATTTCTGTAACTTTTTACCCAGCACTGATTGTCGTATCTCTTCAACATCTGAATGCGATCGATCGGCCATTGCGTTTATCTACGTTGCCCAGCTACATCTACAGGGAACAATTCCCTCTCAAAAATAACATCGTCCAATTTACGACGTCTTCAAGTTACGAGCGCATGTTCGAATCTCTAGAAATGACGTCAGTTGCATTTGTCTGGTGGACCAGCATATTTGTTGACCCTGTAATTAAATATATGGCTTAGTGGGTTCAACAGTCTCTTGGACACTCCATTGTATTGTTTATTCCTTTTGTGTCATACAGGTTTTTCATCAGCATAAAGAAATGTCACGAAACAGCAATATTATATTTTGTGCAACTCTCTCCTGTTTCTATGTTCCCTGTGTTTGCAAGTGACGTCAACAAAGTGTGTACATACTATAAAACAGCGAATCATGGTAACTGAATAAAATTTATCTGCCACTGGTTCCAAAGGATCAATGGCATGCTGCCTCAGAAACATACCACCTCGGTTTTGGAATTCACCATCAAATATGTGCTGCTTTTGTAAGTCACTGAGGCATTTTTGTCATTATAGCTAAACAATCAATTCGTGCTTGATATTCCATCTCTCATTCATCAGCTTATTCCACCAAACAAACTCTACAGAGATCGCCGATCCTCAAATTTGACTCTGACTGGATCCTTTGGTCTGGTGATCACAAACTGGACAATGTCCGGGGGTGGCTGACCACTTGGCTTCAGGTCAAATCTCTGTAACATCTGACAAAATAGAAAACAGATTTGACGTAATGTAGATCCCTCTCAAAATAGTTGATCCCAATTTGGTAGCAGTTCACTTCAACAAATGTCATATTTGGGATAACACTTTCTTAGTAAAGGACAGATTCTAGTGTTTTGGGCGGGTTGAATCCCATCCCGGATTCTAACCCACGCTGTCAGAGCTAGGCACCTAATCGCCAGCACACAAGGTCAGCTGTCTAACCCACTCAGCCACCAAGGCTTCCACAAAATGAAAGTCCGACTGGTAGTCTAGATCACGTACTTTGTGTACCCCTCTGACAGGTGTAAATTGGCATTTTCAAGCAAGCTATCCTGGAATCTGCATACTGGTTATGCAGGAATTTTACAACATTAAAAAATGATCTTTCTAATAACACATTCTTTCAGATATTTGAATTGATGTTAAAATATGTCCTGTACTTTAATATGGCTCAGAGATAGGGGCGAGTCCATAGCTATTGAACTGGTATACATGCATGCATGTAAACGATTTATTGGTGAATAACAATGTACTTCAGATGTTACATAGCTGGAATACTGCTCGGGGCAACGTTAAACAACAAACAAACAAACAAATAATCCCAAATCATTCTCCTCTTTGGCTAATATTTTGGAGGCATTATTAACAATAAACAAGAAATGTGTGAATTTGAAAATAAGAATTCGTACTGAAGAGTTCTTACCTGTGCCACCAAGAGTTGAATTTCGAGTTCAGCTACACGTCGACCTAAATAGCAATGTTAATATGTGTTAGGTAGGTCAGGTAGGGCCTTTCTATGACTATCTTACATAATGGCACACAATGCAAGTCTACCATTATCCTTTAATACTTTTAAGGGCTGAACGATAACTTCCCACTATTTACATATGTGTATACTATTTATTTAAGTGAATCTCAACTGAGAACAATATTGTACATCAGGGGTCTTCCCACTTACGTAACTCCTGCTGTTCAGAGGTACAAACTATGTCACGGGAGCAGAGCTCCAGATAAGCTGCGTATCTGCGTAAAATACGCATCAGAAATGCAGAAATACGCAGTGAGAAAAAAAAACAAGCGTATCAAATAAGCAATGAACATTACAGATACGCTACAAAAATAAAACTTGTGCGTATCAACAAAATATTGTGAAGTAACCCTGCGTATTCGATTAGCAAATCAAACTTATTTTGAAATTATATACGGACATTCCGTCAACCTTGCCAAACTCCACGATGACAGTTACATCATGATCATTTGCCATCACACTTTCTGGTGGAAGTATCGCGGTATTTTTGAGTCCTATTAATATAAGCTCTCGAACCCACACGACAACAGTTTGCAGGGACTAGATGAAGTGTTTTTAAATATTTAACTTAAATACCCACATGTGTAAAAACTAGTGGGTAACAGAAATTTGAATACCCAGATAGAATTACTGATACCCAATGATTTTAAAATGCTTGAGTAAAATACCCACAACATCCAAAAGCTTATCGGGAGCTCTGCGGGAGATAACCCCTTCAGCAAGTTGGGCAATTGGGAATGAGCCGTACATCATTAATATTCATGACGTCACACATGGATCCCGTTACGTCAATTGCAAGTCCTTGACATTTTATAAATTTACATTAATGTTCCCTCTTAAGATGAAAATGGGTAATTCAATAGAATAACGAAACTCAGAATAATGTCCCAACTGCTACTTTGAACTAATTAATACCAACTGTGTTCAGACAAACACATTGATTTTTGAAATATTTGAATGATTTGGTTGTTTTTTTTGGTGTTTAACCCCGCACTCAGCAATATTCCAGCTATATGACGGCGGTCTGTAAATAATCGAGTCTGGACCAGACAATCCAGTGATTAATATCATGAGCATCGATCCACGCAATTGGGATCGATGACATGCATTAACCAAGTCAGCGAGTCTCACCACCCGGTCCCGTTAGTCGCCTCTTGAAGTTTGCTGAACCCGTGAATCCCCATTAAACTCACCGACACACATCCTTTTCCCAAAGCCGAATGGAATATGTGAAAATGCAACTGGTTTATCACTGGCTTCTCTCGTCTCTCTCAACCAGCGTTCAGGTCGGAAGGTCCCTGGCTCGTCATTCAGTGACGGCAACCGCCCAACCGCATGCAACGACACAACAACATTTTTCTGAAAAATGGAAGAGGGTTTTTACAATACAAGTCATTTGTTTGTTTGGTTGGTGTTTAACGCCGCACTCAGCAATATTCCAGCTATATGACAGCGGTCAGTAAATAATTGAGTCTGGACCAGACAATCATGAACACTGATCTATGCAATTGGGATAAGATGACATGAATCAAGTCAGTGAGACTGCCCACCCGATCCCATTAGTCGACTCTTACGACAAGCATGGGTTGCTGAAGACCAATTCTCTTTTGGGGATTTTATCGAAAAATATATATTGTCCCCGAAAATTCTTGAAAACAATAATAATGCTTCAGAGTAGTGAAAACAAAAGAAATTGGCTGCCACAAGAAGAACTTTGTTGCAAGGTGTTTTTTCTTTTAAAAAATCAGGGTTATAGTTTTAAATACAAAAAATATCTGGTTTTGCAGCTTTAATTGTTACAAAATATCAAGTCTCGATACAAAATCCCACACACGTACAATGTCTGAGGCCCATTTCTGGTGTCCCCCGCTGCTGTAAGCGGCGTAAATTCATACTCACTCGTTCACATAACTGCGTATTTTAACTCATGGACCTATTCTTGCCTGTCTGACATATATTGGACTTATCTACCCAGTACATACCCCTTTGGGCACCTGATATCCCATTATAACGATATCTTGCTGGTTGATTCGACCTACATAACTCCCGACTGGGTACAACCTGGAAAAAAGATAACACACACTAAGAATTATGGGAGAAATATCTTGCAGAAACATATCCCGTGAAACCTGGTATATGTGCCGTGTACTTCAGTATAAATGGGAATGTTCATTTAGTTGCCTGGACTAACACCTAGTCTCTGAAAAGAACATATTTAACAGATAAAAGCAGTTGGTTTTTTTATAGCTATGAAATATAATAAAAAAGGAGCACGGAGACTTTCTTCATTTTCAGATACTACAGTGATATAGATTTGGCATGATAGACTTGCATGGGCTGTACTGGATATATTTGTTTCAGGGTCTGTATGGAAGACTATTTGTTGACTTGTGAGCCTTTGGGGACTGGGCTGTTGTGACTGCTCCCATGATCTGTTTCGATGCTCAGCCAATGGTTTGTTTGTTGAAGAGTCGTTATTATTGTTCAGATTGCAATACAAAAATGGTTTTCCATTAAAAACTTTATGAAATATTTTTTCTCAGAAGGCAGTTGAAACAGAGCACATTCGTCCTTATATCCCCTCAGTTTAAATCCGGGCATTAACATATTATTGCTAAGACTTGTCATGATAACCGGATATTAAACGAACAAAACATAATAATATTGATCGACTTAAAAACCAAAATTATTTGTTCCTTCGTTTGTACTTTGTTCGGCGTACTCAGCAGTGTTCCAGCTATATGACGGCTGCCTGTAAATAATCGCGTCTGGACAAGACAATCCAGTGATTGATATTTTGAGCAACAATCCACGCCGCCTGGGTACGATGACACGCAATCAACCAAGTTTGGCTACTTGATCCATTAACTCGCCTCTTACGACCAGCACAGGTGGGGAACCTAGTCTAACCCGGAATCCGCACGGGGCTGAATATGTCTGTTATGGTTGATGTACTGCCGACCAGTTGGTTGGTTGGTTGGTTTGTAGTTTTACGCCGCACTCAGCAATATGACGGCGGTCTGTAAATATTCGAGCCTGGACCAGACAATCCAGTGACTGATGTCATGAGCATCGATCCACGCAACTGGGATCGATGACATGCATCAACCAAGTCAGCGAGCCTGACCACCCGATCCCGTTAGTCGCCTTTTACGGAAAGCATGGGTTGCTGAAGACCAATTTTACCTCGGAATCTTCACGGGTCACTGCCGACCAGAACGAAAGACCTAGATTCTAATTCACTTTCATTGCCTCCAACAGCCTTATACCAGAGGTGTGTCTTACCTGAGAGTTTCCTTGATAACCGCCTTCAGGTAGGGCATAGATCTGAGATGTTCGGGGGTGGCGATTTCCCCGGGGGGCACCGACAGCTCTAGCTCCTCCCTCAGCTTCTTTTGAACATCCGGGTTCTTGGCGACCTCATATAGAAGGAACTGCATGGTGTTTGACGTCTGTAAATGATAAATCAGATGACTGATTTTGTTTGTTTGTTGTTTAACTGTAAATAATCGAGTCTGGACCAGACAGTCCAGTCATCGGTCATGAGCATCGATCCACGCAATTGGAATACGATGACACACATCAACCAAGTCAGCGAGCCTGACCACCCGATCCCGTTGGTCGCCTCTTACGAAAAGCATAGTCGCCCCTTACAGCAAGCATGGGTTGCTGGAGACCTGTTCTAACCCGGATCTTCACGGGTTAGTGTCACATGTGAAAAGTGAACACGGGTACAGATTTTCAAACTCCATACTGGGAGGTTTGATCTTTTGTTTTCCACATACCGGGTCAGCTCTTTTTTAATTGTGGTGTTGGAAAACTATTTTCGTATCGTCAGTGAACGATATTCCGAGATAAGGAAAATCCAAGACACCAGCAAAGTTCTGGTTTCTTGGATTAGCTACAACCAGTGAGATAACTGACCGTGTCGACTGCCGCACTCATTAACTCCGTGACGTTGGCATAGATTTCTTTGGTGGAAATTGTGTCCTTCAGAAGCAGGTACTCCAGGAAGCCAACCTCCTCCTCGTCCACGGTCTTAGACTTCAGTTTAACCATAGCTTCGTCCACACACTGTCGGGCTGGAACACATTTAATACCCTCGTTTGTTTTGCTTGTTTGTTTTTTAACAACGCAATATATGCTATATGACGGCTGCCTGTAAATAGTCGAGTCAAGACGAGATAATCCAGTGATTGATATTATGAGCAAAGGACCAGGCCGTCGGGGAACGATGACACGCATGAAATTCGAACCCCTACAACGACGATTAGCTCATGCCTAAATATCCAGAACAATTTAATTTGATTGTTTGTGGCCACTTTGCCAAATATTACCAACAATATCGAATATGCGTTTTTTATAAGTATAAGTATGAGTGATTCCGTATAGATTCATCATCAGTTGGGGGTTTATCGTCCACTTCCGGTGTTCCCAATTTCGTGGACGGGGGGCAGGTGGGTAAATATGAATATAAATATGTATAATATGGAACAATTAAAAAGCTTGTCCCCCAAAAATGTAACTGAAGGTGATAATTACAAAAGAATCAATAAATCCAAAAGAGAAAAAAACAAATATGTAGAACGTCATTAATACATGCACTTGACTATTACTTGTAGTATATAACTGAGGTGCAAGACAGTACGAACGTTCTAGGCAATTCGCTGTTCAGAGTTGCATCCTTTTGGCGTGCGAGGATCCTACGACAGTAGGTTCGAATTCCAGATGGGCCTTGATCCCAATTCTTGGTTGTGAGCACCATACCCACGGATTTCGCGGAAGCCGAAAACTTCTTAAACGTGAACCACGTTGGTCTTTCTGCCTACATCAAACACTCGGGGCTGACTGACTTACTGTTCATATCGTCTTTAAACCTCCCTCACTCACTCACTAAACTTTTTACCTACCTACACGAAACAGCGTATCCGTCGATCGGGTGAAAGCTCTGTACCGGAAAGGCCGGAGGATCTTGGCCAGTGTTGGGGGGAACACTCCTATATCAACCGTCGTCTCCAACATCACTCGGATAGCTTTCACAAATTCTTCGCTTTCACCAGAGCGCTTGTCAGATAGGCACCCCATCCGTTTGTTGTATAGCACGGTACAGACCGCTGAATGATAAAGTGGATAGTCGATAACCAAATTGAAACTGACTTGGAACAATTCTGATTTTGAATAATTATGCTAATAGGGTCGAAATAATAATAATAATAATAATAATAATAATAATAATAATAATAATAATTTATTGATCTACCTAAAACATGGTGATATATATACTTTAATTTATATAATTGACACTTATTATCATAATATTCTTAGCAATTTAAAATTTAACATTTTAGTAATAGACACAATAGACACTGCTAAAGTGCATCATCTACTACATTAGTATAAAATGCCCCTTGTAATACAAACGCCAACCCACACTAGCTCTTAAAGGGTAAATATCCCGTATAAAGCAACGGACCGTCTCCGTGGTCTACTGGTAGAGCGTCCGCCCGGAGAGCGGAAGGTCCGGGGTTCGATCCCCGGCCGCGTCATACCAAAAGACGTTAAAAGATGGTACTTGTTGTTACCCTGTCTGGCGCTCGGCATAAAGGGGCTAAAACAAGGACTGGTCGGCTCGGAGTCAGTATACTGTGGGGTATTCATGTTAAACTGCGGCATGGTATGTATCTCAGTGAGCTAGCACTATAAATCGGCATCAGTCTGGACTAGTACAAGCAGCCACACATACACGTGCATGTACGTCGCTATATAAGTGCAATAATCTTGGACGCGACGTTAAACCCCATTTCACCTCACACATAAAGCAACGAAGTAATGCCGATATATATACCTTCAAGTGACCAGTTGAAGAGCTCCATGTCGATGTTTTCCACAACCCCATCAGGGCCCCTGACACTCGCCAATCTGTCAAGAAACTCGGTGGTAACAGTGTTGAAAATGTCAGCGTAACTTTCAACGGTCTTGATCTTCATCAAAGGCTTGTCTACGACACTGCGCATGCGCTGCCAGTCCTCGTTACCACTAGTCAAAACAAAGTACAAAGACTTGCACACGTCGATAAGGCACAAATAAAATTAATAGTTTCAAACATGATTTCTAGATTATATAAATAATAAGAACAAGTTGTCCCCATAAAAAACTTGCGTCCTTGTAAGGTCCGCCTATCGAGATATCCTAAAGGATAGAATTACTATACGTCAATGGACTTTCCTTTCAGTACTGCATTGGAGCAAGGGTAAATAGTAGAAGAAGAACACTTTAAATATTGGGGCAATGGAATTTTCATGTATTTCATTTGGAATTGCGTTCATGTTATATTTCATAGTCTTCACACAAAATATCAAAATTGATTTTATGATACGCCATATCTGATAGACACTTTCCATCAGGGTAATTGATTTTGTATCTTATCAATAGAATGGACCTGTGAAGATCCGGGGTAGAATATATCTTCAACAACCCATGTTTGCCGTGGGCAGCTCTATGCTTGTCGTAAGAGGCGACTAACGGGACCGGCTCGCTGACTTGGTTGATTAATATCAGCGTATCCTACTTGCGTGGATCGATGCTCATGATGTTAGTCACTGGATAGTCGGGTCCGGACTCGATTATTTACTGACCGTCGTCATGTAGCTGGAATATTGCTTAAACGGCGTTAAACAAGAAACAAACAAAACAAAATCAACAGAATGTCATTCTAGTATTTACCGTTAACCGAGCATCCGTGATACATCTATCATTAACATTTGAGATTTATGAAATTAACAGAGTAACAAATACCATCTTTTAACGTTTTTGCCATGGCGCGGCCGGGGATCGAACCATCCATAGTTAAGATAATATATAGTTTCTTATAAAATCTGTTAGAATGAACCAGACTTTTTAATACGTAACCGTAGTTTCAACCGATGAAGGGGAAAGAAATAGCCCTGAACCGTTGTGTATGTATAATAGTGAGTGAGTGAGTTTAGTTTTACGCCGCTTTTAGCAACAATCTCATTAAAATCAGATCTTTGTTCTCGATACCGCTAAACAAAGTTTGTTTAGCGGTAGCGAGAACTAAGATCTGATTTTAATGAGATTGCTTTTAGCAATATTCCAGCAATATCACGGCGGGGGACACAAGAAACGGGCTTCACACATTGTACCCATGTTGGGAATCGAACCCGGGTCTTCGGCGTGACAAGCGAACGCCTTAACCACTAGGCTACCCGACCGCCCCGTATGTATAATAAAGAAGTCGTAGTGTAAAACATTCCATGTCATAACATATCCAAACTTACGCCATAAATATTCCCTCAGCCTCCCCAGCCTGTTTTCTGTACTGAATCCAGACAGGTACCTCGGTCCGCTTTGGACACTTCCCCTCTTGGCGCAGGAAATCGCCTATTGCCTCCACATCGGTAATCATGACACTGTCTAAAACGCCCAACTTTTCTCTGAATATCGGTCCATGCTGTTGATGACGAGACCATATCAATTCATGCATCTTCCCAACTTTTCCAGCAAATTCGAGCATATTGTTTATAACTGGGTATCCTTTCTTAAAAGGGATGTCATTGAATGGTTTTGCAGACTTGAAATCGTCCTTCACTTTGCCTGCTTCCGCGGTGTATCTGAAACGAACACATCCTGCACAAGCCCGGCTTGCTTGTAAACAGGTAGCTCTTCTTATAAAAAGCGCCATCTTCCAGGTGAGCTAACTACGTTGTCATCAACCTCATGTATCTGCCTTTTGAAAAAGATTTTAGACACCAGAAGTAACTGGCTGCGAACATCCAAGATGGCAGAACGAAAGTAGTTGCATTCACTGATGATTTAGGACGTCGCTATTTACACACTGTTTTTGTCTATGTGTTCGTGTTATCGGTTATCGAGTTTTTCAAGGGAGACAACTCATCGCAACTGCCCGATTTGCGTCTTATACTACAAGCTAATTATAGTCAGCAAGTTCGCGGGGATCGGGATCGGGGGCGTGTCCAAGCGATTTGTCCACACATAGTTATCTCCCTTTGACTGTACCCTGTCCATGTGGGCTCTCTATGAGGTGTTTTTTATTTTGATTGATGCGAGTTGAAAGATCCAGTATAAATATTTTTTCAATTAAGCGATCCTCAAAGTTCATTGGTCAATTTACGCAATATGACGTCATACTGCTACGCTTGTGGTAACAATGCTTATGACGACGTATTATTACCCGCCAGGGCGAGGATATTGGTGAAATGTAATTCTCACTGAGCAGTGTAACTATTTCCATTGTTTTCATTGGATGCGAGGACTCCCATAGCAACGTGACGTCATGTGAACGTATTGTCGCAAATATTTGAAGATGACGCCACAATCGAGTTTATTTTACGTCGTTCCAACAATAGACCGACTGAGCTGTTATCTCCACTTTAGACCTGGGGCGGTATTCACAAAGATTCTAAAAAGCTCTGTGAATACCGACCCGGAGGGTCGTTGTACAAAACAACTTCATCGCTACGGTTGTCGTAAGTCTGTGTTAAGGTGTAGGAGCTACGATCACTTTGTACAACGGCACCCAGGAGACTCACATTTTTTTTCTATATTTTTGTCAGAAACAAAGGTTATGGGCAATAATAAGCGCAATAACGTATTTGCAACTCGGAATTAAAGATTATCTCTCCCTCATGTATTAAAGTTGAATGTTTTTCGCAAAGGCAAATTAACTTGGAAAAGATATTTTGTAATTCCTCGTACCTAGGTTATTCACTAAATAATTATTTATAAGTCGTAAGTCGATACGCTTACATCATTCGAACAACTGAATTCAATGAAGTCCTTAACACATTTTTGAAATTTCCTTTCTTGCCATAGAGCTAACCGTTATCTTTGGACGATATTGGATGAAACTGAAATCTCTAAAATTCAAATTTAGAGACAGCGGATCCAAGGCAAGCATGTTCGGACATGACTGTCGCCATAAATAGCTGTTGAACAGAGGAATTACGGGATAGGGGCGATGTGACTACAAGGGAGATCACGGTTCTTGGGGACATTCAGTGTCTGCCAGTACCTACCAAAGTGAGGGGAAATGGGGTTTAACGTCGTTTTCAAGATTTTTGCCTTATATAGTGACGTGCATGCACGCGCTCGCGTGCCTGCGTGTGTGTGTGGGCGTGTGCTCTTCCGGACTAATGCCGGTTTAATATTGCTAGTCCACTGAGATACCATGCCGCTGTTTTACATGGAAACTCCACTCACGACATTGTTTACTAACTTCGAGCCGACCAGTCCTTGTTTTATCCCCTTAATGCCGATCACCAACCAGGGTAACAACATGTACCATATTTTGACGTCTCTTGCTATGATCGAGTCACCGACCTTCCACTCTCCGGGCATCGCGCTATCCACACCACAGAGGCGGTCGTACCGAACTGAACAATATGCAGCCTGACACAGCAAGTTTCAGCATAACTGTGTCAACATTTGTCAACTGTTTGCAGGCTATGAGCGTAGCACCTTGGACCGTAGAAGTCCCTGTGATAAGTGGTGGACGCTGCTAGCGTTGGGAGATGGGGTATGCCTCATGCAGCCTGTCGAGTAACACTGATATATGCTTCGTAATACATCAGTGCCATGATTGTCAGCACATTTTGAATAGTTTGTACATCCGAATGAGTAGGTGTTTAACTTCATTGAGATATGTGTTAAATCCATTGTAATTCAGGTCGTTTAACCATCAACCTATTTAGACTTTGACCCTGCACTTGTAATTACCGTAAATCCTCGATCGGAGGCCGTGCTAAAGCCAGTCTTAACAGGGCAGCCTCAACTTGAGACCTTATCCAATTTCACGGTTTGACATTGCTACTGAGAAATGAGCTAGTGCAAATGCATGGGATCTTGGATAAGGGAAGGTCTGTCATCAATGTCGGGTCATGAATATGGGTGAAAGATAACTGAGCCTATTGGATGATATACGGTACTGAATACTGTTGAGTGCAGCCCTGTTGAGTACTGCGTTCTTAATCCGGTCTCGAGCCTTTGTGGTGTCGCTGAATAACGGTTGTGGACCAGATAGAGAGGGGAATGACTCGGTTGTATTGAGACGTATCTGTTAGGACAGACATTATTCATACTTTGGTTTACAGATTATTATTAAAACTATTCGTAGGAGAAGTTGAGCACAACTACAAGAAAAGTATTTAATATCAAGACGTTATCTGAATGTATTGAGTGAGTGAGTATGGTTTTACGCCGTTTTTAGAAATATTCCAGAAATATCGCGGCCAGGTACACCAGAAATGGGCTTCACACATTGTATCTATGTCGGGAATCGAACCCGTGTTTTCGGCGTGACGAGCGAACGCTTTAACCACTAGGCTACCCGACCGCCCCCTGAATGCATTGCAGGGATGCAGTGTTAGGCTTGTGCCGTCGGTCTTGCACATGTCTTTGATAAACACGTTTACCGAAAACTACAGTTATTTGTTCTTTACAGATTTTAATTGTTCTACTATTTGAAGAAAGTCTCGCCTGTTGCAGAGTGCGGCGTTAAACAACAAACAAACAAACATGAAGGTGATACATCATGATGTAACTGAAATACTGTTCAAAGCGGCGTTTAGCTAAAATCGCTCGGTCACTGTTTAGTTGATTAAGGTTTCTGCTAAGTAGGGTTGGATAAACTGATAGAAGTATTGACGCATTACTATTGTCAATTTGCCGTGGCAATGATTCGATGACAAGTTAAAATATCAAATGTTAACATCAATGTCACTGCATTAGGCACAGTATCGATGATTGTGATTAAATGCTACAAGTACAGTTAATCATATATGTATCCAATCTTTCCCATCTCAAACACATCTTGATACGAGCAGCTTACATACGCGTATCCTTCAACATAAGGTAAATCTTAGTTCAATGATTTTGTTAATGCCGGTGGAAGGTGGACAGGGTGGGAGTATTGCTTGGTACGGCGACATTTTTCTGAAACAAAACATATTCCAGTTATATCACGGCGTGTCAGCTTAATGTGGGAGGAACGCCCGAAGTGATGCAGGTCTCAGACGTTTACCACTTCGGTGAAACACGAGAGCACGGGTATGCTGCTGACAAACCTTGAAACATAATCGAGGTGAGCGGGATTCGAACCCACAATCATAGGTTTCTGGCGTGCCCAAGGGACGCAACTCTGCACAGCGAATCGCGGCGCCTTAGACGACTTGGCCCCCCGTGACCCCCGCCCCCCACGGCTGGTGAGGAACTGCCAACGAGATGGCCATGTTTGTATGTAAAACGTCGACACAATTCAACAAACTGAATCTATTGTGTGTAGGTTTATTTTATAATAGGATATATGCATATGGCATTCACACAACGTTTGTCAACAACATATCAACAGTTCCAGTCACTCTAAAACATCCGTGAAAATAATAGTATGTCCTATCAAAAACGCCGAGACCCACTGAAACCTCTTATACTTATATAATAATATACAAAAATAATCAAAAACCTCAAGAAACGTCGAACATAAATACACTTGAAAAGATTCCTTCTTAAGTTCAAGATTTTGAAATAAAAAATGTAAGAGACGTGCACATGCCATTCTTGTATATATTTCAAATTATTTGTATTTTCTTTACATTTTTTTATTTTTGTTGCATTTTTGTACAGGGTGTACAGGGTGACATGTAAATTGCAAAAATGATACAAAGTTTTCAAAGAACATTAGAAAGTAATATATTATGACACAATGACCAGAATTGATAAGAGTAGTCAATTCTGGAACTTAAGATGGTTGAAGGACATGGCATTTGTAGAGTCTGCAAGACGGGAAAGTTAGTTAAGACTAGTGGATTTATACTTGAATATGATAATTTGAATTACTATTTTGGGGTTGTTATTTCTGTGACAAGGACCATGAAGAAGTTGCTGCCTAGAAAAAATAAGTCTTCATTCAAATCTACCTTGAAGCCAACTTTGAAGCTCTAGCCAGACTGGTGTTACCTTGCTACAATCTGATGATAGGTGAAAAGCAGTTTAGCTGCATGTTCATGAACTAGTAATATATATATATATGACTATGGACTATGTTTATCAGCGTGTCAAACTAAGATCTTAGATTGAAAAAGAACTAATGTCTGTGTTGTACTGAAAGTTATCATATGAATTACAGAATGTTACTTTGTGAAAGACCAGTGAAGATTCCGGGGTAGGGAAGAGGTCTTCAGCAACCCATGCTTGTCGTAAAAGGCGACTATGCTTGTCGTAAAAGGCGACTAACGGGATCGGGTGGTCAGGCTCGCTGACTTGGTTGATGCATGTCATCGATCCCGATTGCGTGGATCGATGCTCATGATATTAATCACTGGATTGTCTGGTCCAGACTCGATTATTTACAGACCGCCGTCATATAGCTGGAATATTGCCGAGTGCGGCGTTAAACAACAAACAACCCAACCACCCTTAGATAACCGGGCCATCCGTAGTCCCTATTATTATGATAAAGCCATATGTTAATTTATATAAGCACGTCTATACTACGTAATGCAGATTATCCTAATTCCTCGATACAGACCAACAACCAAAACCAACCAACTTTGTGAAAATCGCATTCGTTTCCTAAAACCAGCTTAAAAACACACATACTAGTAACAACATATGTCTTTTACTTAAGAATGGGCTTCACACATTTTTGCAGTTTGAGGAATCGAATCTTTAGGTCTTGGGAATTTGGCTATAGTCGTTTATGATTGGTTGGTCTGTCTCCTAGACCAGAGAGAATAAATAGAAAAAGGAGGCCAACCTATGTCTAGAATGATTTGGGAAGTCCAGATAAGTGAATCCTGGAGTTGTCATGGATACATGGGCTCCAAATCACAATGTTATTTGATGAATCTTCCGGTCATGTGATCACAATGTGTGATGCATCCTCCGGTCATGTGATCATATTCTTATTTCATTGACCCCATTGTAATGTTGTTTCTCTGTGACGTATGTAACTCCACGTCATCAGGCTGTCGCAGGTTGTCTGTCCACGAATTTCACCTTGACAGGATCCTTTGGTCTGGTCACCACAAACTGGAGAAGGTCAGGCGGAGGCTGGTCGCATTGCACCAGATCAAATCTCTGTAACATCTGACGAAACAAAATAAGTAGATCCATGAGCTCTGTAGCTCACCGAATAACATTTTAGATTAATGTTTACTTTTATAACAAATTAAAATCATATTCGCTAAGAAGAGGCTCGAAGTAAAAACATACAGGGTTTCTGTCCTGTGATCTCACTTGTCTAGAGGAGAGAGCGTCTGCCCGGAGAGTGGAGGTGAGGTGAAATGGGGGTTAACGTCGCGTCCAAGATTATTGCACTTATAAAGCGACGTGTCGGAGAGTGGAAGTTTGGTGGTCCGCGTCAAACCAAAAGACGTTAAAAGAAGGTACTGGCTGTTACCCTGCCTGGCACTCGGGAATAAGGGGATAAAAAACCTGGTCGGCTTTGAGTGGGGTATCCATGCTAAACTGCGGCATTGTGGGCAAGGACTATAAACGCTGTGACCCCCCACTTAGTATGTTATCTCGTTGTGACCATATGACCTCCTACTGAGTACGTCATCTCGTTGTGACCCTATGACCTCCTACTGAGTACGTCATCTCGTTGTGACCCTATGACCTCCTACTGAGTACGTCATCTCGTTGTGACCTATGACCTCCGAGTACGTCATCACGTTGTGACCCTATGACCTCCTCCTGAGTACGTCATCTCGTTGTGACCCTGACCTCCCACTCAGTACGTCATCTCGTGACCATATGACCTCCCACCGAGTACGTCATGTCGTTGTGACCCTTTGACCTCACACTGGGTACGTCATCTCGCGACCCAATGACTTCCCACCGAGTACGTCATGTCGTTGTGACCCATTGACCTCACACTGGGTACGTCGTTGTGACAAATGACCTCCCGCTAAGTGTGTCATGTCGTTTGGATCCACTCACAATCTTGGAATATAGCTTTCAAAAGTGTAAAAAACACTTGATTTGAAACACCATGTACATGTATATGAAATTATGCGCATTTTGACATGAAACATGTGGATTGTCTGGTCCAGACTCGATTATTTACAGACCGCCGTCATATAGCTGGAATATTGCTGAGTGCGGCGTTAAACAACAAAAAACAAACCCAAAACATTAATTCTTCAAAACATTTGTTTGTTTATTTGTTGTTTAAGGCCGCCCTCAGCAATTTTACTGGTTTATGACTGCGGTCTGTAAATAATCGAGCCAGTACCAGACAATCCAGTGATTAATATCATGAGCATTGATCCACGCAATTGGGATACGAGCCTGACCACCCGATCCTGTTAAGTCGCCTCTTGCGACTAGCAGAGGTTGCTGAAGACCAATTCTTACCCGGAATCTTCACAGGGATCCTAAGTATTAAGTGTGTACATACATAACACATAGTTTCGTACGACACAAACACTCACGTACAAAAAGCTATTACTCACCTGAGAAATTAACAGCTGTATTTCCAGTTCCGCAACACGTCGACCTAAACACCAAATATCAAGGTACGATAAGCAGCATACCTCGTAACATTATTCCAAGATGCTTCGCCTACAGATCAAAGGCGCCGACTGTACTATATTTAAGACGGGAGTGGGAGTTGTTTATCGTACAATAAAACACTGCAGGGATGTGATCGTTCGGCCAGTGCGTTTATCAGCGTACCCCAGCTACATCTTCGGATAACAACTCACCGGACACTTCCCTCTAAAAAATAACGTTGCGCGCGCACATTAAAATACACCATGAGGGGCATAAACCACGCTTCGTTCTTCACTGCTCTCAGCGATTTATGGGGCGGTCGGGTAGCCTAGTGGTTAAAAGCGTTCGCCCGTCACGCCAAAGACCCGGGTTCGATTCCCGACATCACAATGTGTGAAGCCCATTTCTGGTGTCCCCCGCCGTAAAATTGCTGGAATATTGCTAAAAGCGGCGTAAAACCATACTCACTCACTCACTCACTCTGCGATTTATCGCGTAGCTATCTTATATCCTCCGATGAAGTACATTTATTGAGTTACGTCTAACTGACGTCATGGCGCTGTTCAGAATACCGTTATGTCCGTGTCACAGCAATCACAAATATTGTCCGAGACGGGCGTTGGTGCCCTGGGCATAATGTATGTCTCTCCGGACAAGGGAATGAGCAATCTTGAAAAGTTTTTTAACCACATCTACACCTGTAGCTCAGCCTACGGCAATTTAACAGTAAAATAAAACGTCCCCTGTTACTCTTCCTCCACCATGTTCGTCACACGGCGACGCCATATCACGCCATATTCACGTCGGTTACCGTATCAAGTTGCGCAACCAGCTCGGTAGGCACAGTATTTGCAGTTACTGCAGTGTGCTAACATTAGTGGTGGACACAAAGTAGCAACTTGTACAACACCTCTACTCACAATAACCAGCAACACCGAACTTTATGTTAACTTGCTTTGTGTTAGCTCGGCCCTACAATACACTCGTGGAATGTTTCGAGTCACGTATTTAAACTGAAGCAAATTAATACAAAAACCTTAAATTAAAGGATCCTACTTAGTGCTGGGTGTCTTTATAGCTAACCACACGGATAATGACATATATAAAAATATATATATAAAAACTACCCATTTTAGTAGTGTTGTATTATTTTTAAAATATAATGTCTCTTAACGTCAGGGTGCAGGCAAGTAGGCGGACCTTTAAACCCAGCTCCAAAGATACAAAAGGTTAGTCTTAAATACGGCATCCTAAAAAAGTAATAAAGTTTGCACTCCTCCCATGTGTAGTGTAATTAATTATAGTTTTGCCCTGAACTATTATAATGTCAAAGGACGCCAGCGTCCTCGTGCTTTAACTACAATAGTTCAGAGAAAGACTATATTACACTGCACATGGGGGTAGAGCAAACTTAATTCTGGGTACAGCGACATTTTTCTGAAACAAAACATATTTTCTGCTTATTATTCCTTAGACACGTGTTTGGAGTGAGTGAGAGAGGGAGTTAGGTTTAACGCCGCTTTTAACATTATTTCAGTTATATCACAGCATGTCAGCTTGATGTGGGAGGAAAGCTCGAAGTGATGCAGATCTCAGACGTTTACCACTTTGGTAAAAATCCCACGAGCACGGGTATGGTGCTGACAAACCTAGAGGGGCGAAGAGAGATTCGAACCCACAATCATAGGTTTCTATAGGACGCAACTCTGCCCAGCGAATCGCGGCGCCTTAGACGACTGGGCCACCCGTGCCCCCTCTTTAACAATAAGGGAGGAAAGATCTCGATGCCGATTGGTCAGCTGAATACTTAAGAATTGACTTTCACTTTGTGAGAGTTCATTCCATGGAGTGAGAACGCCAAACTATATGGACGTCGGAGCTTGCTATGCTTCAGCATCGTATCTCCTTTGGCTAGCACTATAAAACTGACATTAGTCGTGACTAGTACACGAACGCACGAACGCACGCACGCACGCACACGCACGCACGCACACACACACACACACACACACACACACACACACACACACACACACACACATACATACATACATACGTCATGTGCTACCTTCTGAAAACTACATTAATGAATCAAGAATATACATTTGTATTTCGCATATAACTCGGTATATTTCTTCAAAGGACATTCAACACATACTTTATACAATAAATTTCGGAGATTAGGAATCGCTTCGTAATAGAAATGGCCCGTAGCATTAACTTTGTCACAAGTTCACACTCACCTAGACACATTCTTGGTCCGAAGCCAAACGGAAGATGTGAGAATGCCGAAGGTTTCTCGCCGTCCTTTCTTGATTCTCTCATCCAGCGTTCAGGGCGGAAGGTCAAGGGGTCATCGTACATTGACGGATGTCGACCAGTGACATATAACGACGACGCTATCATTTTCTGAAACATGAAATATCGATCTTCGGCCGTACACACTTGTATGTTTAACTCTATACCCACATCACTGATCACTGGTCGCGTCATCCGAACTAAAGTTTACATCTTATACTGTCGGGATATGTAAGTTGCATTGTTGAAACTAGGTGAGGTGAGGTGAAACTTGGTTTAACGTCACGACCAAGATTATTGCACTTATATAGAGACGTGCATGCACGTGTGTGTGTGTGGCTGCTTGTACTAGTCCGGACTGATGCCGATTTATAGTGCTAGCTCACTGAGATACCATGCCTCCGAGCCGACCAGTCCTTGTTTTAGCCCCTTAATGCCGAGCGCCAGACAGGGTAACAACAAGTGCCATCTTTTAACGTCTTTTGGTATGACGCGGCCGGGGATCGAACCCTGAACCTTCCGCTCTCCGGGCGGATGCTCTACCACAAGACCACGAAGGCGGTCTCTTGAAACTAACTACTGTCTATTATATACTTGTACATAATATGTCGAATCATTCAACTTCAGCCCCCGTAAAGAGCAGGGTTAGAATTGGTCTTCACCAAACCATGCTTGTCGTAAGAGGAGAGAAAGCAGATGTTTTCACGAGTGCCGTGTGCCGCAAAATTAAATTGTTACATTTCAAAAGTAAAATCATGAAACGTAAATTCTCCCTACCTAACACACGGGGTAGGTTAAAACCTATAAACAAATGTGAAAGGAAGTATTTCAAAAATTCTTAATGATACATTTAGCTAAGATAATATACAAAATCAACCTCAACAAAACATATTCTTGAAATCTACGAGATCGCTGTTGGAAGCGAAAGATTACACGCTGGTCAAGTAATAAAATGTCAAAGGTCAAGATGCGATATTAATTCCATAAATGATCATCTGTCATTATTTTGCCTTGTGGGACTAATTTAAAAGAAAGTCAACAGTTTGTGTACGGGCTAGAAGACACTTACGATAAAGGGAGACAATTCGCGAGGAGGTAACTCTTGTATGACAATAGTTTCGTCAAAGTGTAATGTTCACTGCAATGACAATATCACTTTTCTCAATTTCAGAAAACTCAAGTCTTTCACACTGAAGTAAACAAAAAAGATTTTCCGGATGTGTACCTACCCCTTTTGGCACCTGGTATCCCATGACAACAATATCATCCGGGACCACTCGACCGACGAAGCTCCCAACAGGGTACAACCTAAAAATGACATATTCACTTATTTTTCTTTCTGGAGAACAATATGAACTTGTGTTAATTTAAAAAGTTATGTTCTCATTTGGAATTATGCCACGACTCCTTGGTTGATCTTACCTGAGCGTTTCCTTGATAACTGCCTTCAGGTAGGGCATGGACCTGAGATGTGCGGGGGTGGGCATTTCCCCAGGGGGCACCGACAGCTCTAGCTCCTCCCTCAGCTTCTTCTGAACATCCGGGTTCTTGGCGATTTCATACAGGATGAACTGTATAGTGTTTGACGTCTGTAAAGGATGACACACTTTATTCAGCGAACAATCGTGAACAGATGAAGTATAAAAATGAGGGGAAATATATAATCACACGCAAAAGTCAAATTGAGAATTGGACAACAAATATACTTCCATGGATGAAACAATGTCAGAAGGCGGGTAACGAGCAACAGTCCGTGTGAAGAGCGCTTCTGTCACACGCAACTGAGTCAGGTCACACGAGGGGGTTCAGATTCAGAGGCACATTCGACCGCCTCCGTGGTCTAGTGGTAGAGCGTCCGCCCGGAGAGCGGAAGGTCCAGGATTCGATCACCGGCCTTGTTATACCAAAAGACGTTAAAAGATGGTACTTATTGTTACCCTGCCTGGCGCTCGACATTAAGTGGCTAAAACAAGGACTGTTCGGCTCGGAGTCAGTGTACTGTGTCTGAGTGAGGTATTCAAATTAAACTGCGGCATGGTACTTCAGTGGGCTAGCACTGTAAATCGGCATCAGTCCGGACTAGTACAAGCAGTCACAAACACACACACACACACACACGTGTTTGCACGTCACTTTTTAAGTACAATTATCCCATTTCACCCCACCTTAGAGGCACATTCACACAGTAAGTAGCGAGTGTATCCACTGTGTGCCTTGACGCAACAATCACACCATCTCCTCATTGAGGTCACACTGTGCTGGATGTTCAAAACATTCATATAAAGTTTTGAGGATATACAGTTTTCTGACATCTGTCGAGTACCAGGTTCTGACAGTTATACCCCACATGGTAATTCCTTTTAAGAAAGTGTCCCCAGCAACCCACGCTGGCCCTTACATATTGATAGGGTGGTCAGGTTCGTCGACTGGTTTTTTTACATGTCATCGTACCCCGACAGCGTGGATCGTTGCTCATAATATCAACCATTATACTTAAAGCTAAATATTCTGGTAATTGTCTGATATTCATGATCGTACTCGGAAAACCGCAGTGTCAGCTAAGAACAAAGTGTCATTTCACTTGAGGTGAGGTGAGGTGAAAAGGGGTTTAACGTCGCGTCCAAGATTATTGCACTTATATAGCGACGTGCATGCACGTGTATGTGTGTGTTACTGCTTGTACTAGTCCGGACTGATGCCGATTTATAGTGCTAGCACACTGAGATACCATGCCGCAGTTTGACATGAATACCCCACTCAGACACAGTATACTGACTCCGAGCCGACCAGTCCTTGTTTTAGCCCCTTAATGCCGAGCGCCAGACAGGGTAACAACAAGTACCATCTTTTAACGTCTTTTGGTATGACCCCTCTCCGCTCTCCGGGCGGACGCTCTACCATTAGACCACGGAGGCGGTCCATTTCACTTGAGATTCTACTCTTGTGATAAATAACCTTAACATATGATTATACCCGGCTTAGTCGCGATATGGAAGTCTTTGAACAGTAAAATGTATAACTGACCGTGTCGACTGCCCCAGTATTTAACTCTGTGACGTTGGCGTAGATTTCTTTGGTGGAAATTGTGTCCTTCAGAAGCAGGTACTCCAGGAAGCCAACCTCTTCCTCGTCCACGGTCTTTGACTTCAGTTTAACCATAGCTTCGTCCACACACTGTCGGGCTGGAACACATGTTGTACCACAGTTACATACATACACTTAGTAGGACTATAGTGAGTATGGTTTTTACGCCGCTTTTAGCAATATTCCAGCATTATTATTATGCCGGGGACACCAGACATGTTCTTCAAAAAATTGTACCCATGTGGGGAATAGAACTGGCTACCCCACCGCCCAAGGACTATACGAGTAGTGACAAGATAGGCACGCTGAGAAAAAGGTCTAGTGAATTCTACTAACATAATTAGTCACATCAACCAGAAGGTTAGTAAACAACGAATTTACTACCCTGCCTGGTAGATGGCACGAATATGCTTAAGATTAGTAAATAGTACTTATTAAATTAGTATAATTCACAACTTAAACCACAGTGTAAAATATGTGTTAAGAATGTTAACACATACAAAACATGTTTTGGAATGTGTTTCCATCATAAACTGTAAGCACATTTGGTGCATTCTATTACGTGTAGGGAACAAATTGAACAGCGTTACTGTGAGATCGCATAGCGGTCAAAAGCGAGAGCGCAAAGCGCTTGAGTTTTCTGTGGATGACTGGGTGAAAGCCCCTCCCAGAAAATGTTGCTTGTATAGATCGCAGGATATGCAACTTACTGCTATTTATTGATCTTGTCACAAATATAACCAAAGAATCAGGCTGTAAAATTCATTTTTCATTGAATATCTATAAATAATTGTCGTTGACCATTATTTTACATGTCATTTAATAATGTTCAATCATTGCATCACCAGAAATTAGGAATAGTTATTAAGTATTATTACAGATAAGTTTGGTGCCCAATTATTTGGCATGATGGAAGATGGGGTGAGGGAGAGTCATAGAGGAGTTTCCTGCTTGAGAAAGTCACGTCAGGACGTCGTGTCATTCGAGACATGATGTAGAAACCCCATTGTGTATCGTCATCAAGTCAATGCGCTCGTTTGTCAAAGCAGCAAACTATTCGATGACTCTCTCGGTGCTCACAGGAATGTCTCTGTGCACATAAAGCAGTGCAAGAGAAGACATTCTGGAGTCCGCCATTGTGGATCTGAGATAGGTCTTCACTCTCCACATGGCGCTGAATGATCGTTCCCTTGAGGCTGATGATAATGGAATGGTGATGAGCAAAGACAGTGTTGTGTGGATACCAGGGTCCAAATCTGCATTTGTAACTCTGAGTGTCTCAAGTAACCCTACAGGTTTTCGACCGTCGGCTAATTTCCATCTGATCTTCCAACTCGTCACTTCGTCCTGAAACGATTGCCTATCTGTCTCTGCCGTGAGATCTGTGTGGTAAGCATTGAGGATTGTATCCATGGTATCAATGGTGAGGTTTGTCAGATTGCTGAACACTAGGAAGCTCGTACAGAAGCTGTCTTCATTTTGAACAACTCTTTTGGGTATGTCTGTAATCAAGTGGTCGACAAAACCAAAATAGAGTGAAACTCTAATAATCTGACGGTGTTTCAGCAGGACGGATAGCCCTGTTCCTCTGGTACACATTCCTTCGTGGAATACTGGGCAACATGTCAAACTGGCCAGCAGTTACCGCTGCACGTTCACACAGTGCTGCCCAAACAGTGTCATCCTTCCTCTCTTCACGAAATCTGCAGATCACGATTTTGGCTTCGGTGACTGCCTCCATGAGATCAGTGTCTACCGTCTGTAGATAATTGGTGAGCGGAATGATATTACTTAGGACATGCGCTGCTACGACAAGCGATATGATAAACTCAATTTGGGATTTAGGTGTTGTCCAGCGTTGCGCTCTTTATCGTCCTTCAATTACTCAAGCGCAGCTACCTCCACGGCAAATGGCTGCACGAAAAGAGAGGATCTGTTCGCCTGGACCATCTTGTCTCACACATTGTACAGTTTTGTACGCCTTTTCATCTGATCCTGTACTGGTTCATTTTCAGACAACTCGTCCGAGCAAGCAAGAAGGCGTTAAGCTGAATAATCAAAAGCGAATCAACAGTTTGCACAGCATATTCCGAACACATTATCTTCACTGCTGTGAATTAGAGCCAAGTTAAATGCCTGTGCATGCAATGTATGTAGTTTGCATCAGGAACATTTTTCTTTATTCTTGCTAGCAGTCCACTGAATTTTACAGCCAAGGCTACTGCCCCGACATAGCATTGCAACCTTACCAGCAGATCACAAATTGCAACGCCCTTCACACTTTTGGCATGGCGAAATCCAACATAATCTTGTCTTATTGATAACTGACCATCCTTGCCATGGAATTGTAGCCACAATGAGACCTGTTCTCTTATCCGTGCACTCATCTGCTATTATGAGTGAGTGAGTGAGTGAGCTGGGTTTAACGCCGCTTTTAACATTATTCCAGTTATATCACGGCGTGTCAGCTTAATGTGGGAGGAAAGCCCGAAGTGATGCTGGTCTCAGACGTTTACCACTTCTGTGAAACCCACGAGCACGGGTATGGTGCTGACAAAGCTAGAAACATAATCGGGGTGAACAGGGATTCGAACCCACAATCATAGGTTTCTGGCGTATCCCCAAGGGACGCAAGTCTGTACAGCGAATCGCTTCGCCTTAGACGACTGGGCCACCCGTGCCCCTGCTGTTATGACGACATTAGAGTAAGCATATCTGCAAATATCTACAAACACATTCTCTGTCTCATATAGTTCAATAAGTACATTTTGAATTTTTGACCCGTGGAGATCCGGGTTAGAATAGGTCTTCAGCAACCCAAGCTTGCCGTAAAATGCGACTATGCTTGCCGTAAAAGGCGACTATGCTCGACGTAAGAGGCGACTAACAGGATCGGGTGGTCAGCCACGCTGACTTGGTTGATGCATGTCATCGTATCCCAATTGCGTGGATCGATGCTTATGATGTTAATCACTGGATTGTCTGGTGCAGATTCCATTATTTACAGACCGCCGGCATAGAGCTGGAACATTGCTGACTGTTAAACAACAAACAAACAAACAAACAATCATTCCCAATTCCTCTCATATCATTAATACTGTGTCAAGCTATACCAGATGTTTCACCTACCAACTCGGAAGATTGTGTCCCAGGAATGAGTAAATTCCCTGTACTTGGATGGTCGGACAATCTTGGCCAGCCATGGGGGAAAGACTGCGATTTCAATGGTCGTCTCAAGCATAGACCGAACTGCCTTTACAAACTGTTCACTGTCAGGGCTGCGGTTGTCAGTTAAACACCCCATTCGTTTGTTGTACAGTAGCGTGCATATAGCTGAAAGTTAATAGTGAGATCGGTAAAAAGAAATGAATGACTGGGAGCTGCTTAATAATCTTATTACTGTCGCTGTTACACATTACTACGCAAAACACAAAAAGGCGAAGTTCTCATTCAGTCAACTCAGGGATTATCGTTCGTTAAGTAGTGAAGAAACACTTATTTACATTCTAGTGACCAATTGAAGAGCTCCACGTCGATATGTTCCACAACCCCATCCGGGCCCCTGATGCTTGCCAATCTGTCCAGAAACTCGGCAGCTACAATGTTGAAACTGTCAGCGTAGCTCTCAACCGTCTTGATCTTCATCATTGGCTTGTCTACCACACTGCGCATGCGCTGCCATTCCTGACCATCTCTGTGAAGTTCATATAAAACCAGGGAGTATATGTATTGACTCCTTGAAAAAATATGTAAATATACCATAAATATTTAAATGTATTTTCTTTTTTCGTCTTTCTGTAGGAAACTAATACAAATGAAACCAAAGGAACTTATTAATAAGTACTTCAAATGTCGAAAGCATATTAAGATTGCATCCGTAGAACAGGGCCCATAGGTTGTTTGTTTGGTGTTTAGCGATGCATGCAACATATTCAAGCTCTATGGCGGTTTCAGTAATGCAGTAAGTTTAAAATGCTAGCAAAGATAGCAACCTGATAAAAGCTGCTGTAAGCATGTATATACAATAATTTCTGCACAAGTAACCATGATAATGTGGACAAGTTACTAAATACTAAACAAAGAACACACCGACACACCGACGCACCGACACACACACACACACACACACACACACACCAGAATATAGAATACTTGTCTGCATTAATTTGTTGTTATCGATTATCGGGGGGGGGGGGGCTGTGTCTACTGCAGTAAAAAGCCTTTCAAGAAGCCTTCAATCTCCTTATAGCCGGCATGACGCACACGTAGCCTTACCTAAGCCGTGTGGTTCTCGAGATTGAAAGTTTGTGACATTTTAATTTCCTAAGATTTCTGTCAAATTCCTAACATTATTATTCACTTAATTTTAACAAAATATGATGTTATAATAAAAAGAAACATATACTTGCAAAAAGTTCAGCATCCCCAGTGCTTTGGAAGAGATGATGTGTACAGGGCCATAATTGCACTTTGTGAGATATTTTGCACATGGTCAAAACGCTATAGTTTATCGAGGTCAATTCCAAGTTAAAATATGGTGAAAAACGCGAAACACATGTGTTAATTCACAATTTGGAGCAAGGTCAAAAGATACTTATATACACATGCACAAAAGTTAAGCGCCACCTTATTCATAGTCTCTTGATTTCACGTGTGGGAATCAGAAATACGAAATATGATGATGTATGACTGAATTAGGCTTCCATAGTTTCATGAACCCAAATTTGTCCAGATACCACAAGGAAAGCGTGCTTTACGTGTTGCTGCAGTTCCCCTACCCTATAAATAGTGAATTCAAGTTTCAGACACGTGGTTGCATTTTGCTCCTGTGTGAGATTCCCCTTCCAACCGAGGTTGAAAATCAGCCATGGTGAGGAGAAAGTTAACGAACGCTGAAAGATGGCAAGTGATAGGCATGAAAAATGCTGGCATGTCATGCAGGGCCATTGCAAGACAAATGGGTCGTCATCACAGTGTTATCACTCGTTTGATTGTCAAACATGGTCAAACCAATGATGTCAATGACAGGCATAGGTCTGGTAGGCCAAGAAAGACCTCTAACAGAGTGGATAGACGTCTTTTCAGGATAGTCAGACGAAATCCATTTGCCACTTCAACAGATTTAAGACTGTTGTGGATTACCCGACAGAGACTCTCGACGATGACCGTAAGGCATCGCCTCAGAGCGGCTGGTTATAACGCCAGAAGACCAGTAAAACGTCCTCAACTGACTGAGAAGCACATGCGGAATCGTCTGATATGGTGTCGTGCCCGTAGTCGATGGAACTTGGCCAACTGGAGAAGGATCCATTGTTCTGACGAGTGTCGAATGCTGCTACGAACTGTTGATGGTCGAATACGTGTTTGGAGGCAACGTAACACTCGTTTTGCACCAAGGAACATCCAGAAGACCTTAGCATGTGGCGGGGGGGTCTGTCATGATATGGGGTTGTGTTTCCTTCGGCTACAAACTTCCGCTGGTGACAATTCGTGGAAACCTGAATGGCCAACAATACCAAGATGCCGTTCTTCGTCCAGTGGTAGTCCCTCATTTTGACAACCATCCTCTTCAGACAAGACCTGTTTACGTGGACGACAATGCTAGACCACACAGATCTCGGGCAGTTTTGGCTTATTTGCGTCACGAAAACTATTGCCACTCTTCCTTGGCCGGCCTGTAGTCCGGATCTTAATGATCCGATTGAGCATCTCTGGGACATTCTCGGCCAGAAAATTAGACATCGTGATCCCCCAGTTCAAAATCTCGCTGGATTTGAAGCCGCACTTCATGAAGAATGGATCCGTTTGCCTCAGAGAAGCATTCAACGATTTGTAATGAGTATGAGGCGTAGGGTTGAAGCTGTGGTCAATGTCCGTGGATCATACACACGTTACTGACGTTTCTGTCTTGCAATAGACTCTGCACTCCCTAGGGTGTCTATGTGACACCTGATATGGTCTGCTGATATCATGACAGTTACATGACAAAAAAAGTTTTTCAATGTTTTCTAATCCTTCAATTTCTGGTCTTCGGTAAAATTCCTTTCTGCTCATATTCTTTTGGAACACAAGATAAACTTGCTTTGGGACAACTTTTGCACTACATGAGGTTTACATATACGGCTTATAACAATCGTACATCTCGTTATAATAGTCATCATTAAGTGCTAAAAGTAACAGCTCACAAACATGGTGGGTGGCGCTTAACTTTTGTGCATGTGTATAAATTGAAGTCAAACTTTAAACTATCACCAATTATGTCTTGAGTCCAACAATAAGTCTATCTACGCCTATATCAAATGTCATTACCATTTGAACAAATATGGTTGAGTAATTATGACCACATATTGCGAGGTACCTTGCTGATTAGAACAAAGCAGAATGAATGATCCTACGTACGCAGTAAGCACGCCATCTGCCTCCCCCGAATCCTTTCTGTACTGGTCCCAGACCTGGATCTTTGGCCGCATTGGATATTTCCCCTCTTGGCGGAGAAAGTCGCCCAAAGCCTCCACGTCCGTCATAAACACGCTGTCGTACACTCCATTCTTTTCTCGGAAAATTGGCCCAAGTTCTTGATGTCGGGAACTGATTATCTCATGTGCTTTCCCTGGCCTTCGAATATATTCCGGCATATGGTTGATGATAGGATATCCTTTCTTATGAGGCATGTCATTGAAGGGTTTAGCAGACGCGAATTCGTACCTTACCGAGCCTGCTTCCGCGGTAGATCTGAAACGAACACATCCCGGCCAAACTTTAAGTGCTGGATATTGCGAAACTCTTCTCATTAAATGTGCCATGATTAGTGTCTACCTTACTCTCTTGTCATCAAAGTATTCCTGTATAAAAGTGTTTTCGAATGAAATACGGAGGGAGGTCTATTATCCTGACTAGACCGATGACTGTTGTTAGCCCCACTTGACAGCACAAAAATGAGTCAGTGACCTGGATGTTTTGTAAACATTGAATCTGATAGATAGTCCATACACAGTTATGCCCCTTGAACCAAGCTTCTCACAGCGATAGCCCGTTCGCGGATGCCTCTATATTATCATGTCCAGGCATGCGTTCAATAGGCCGAGGCGCTTTCTGAGCGCTTACTTAGCCCTCTCCGCGGGCGCTCGGGTGTAATCGAATAATCTGGCAACTGCTGCCGGCAGAGGGCGCGGTTTTCAAAATGGCGTTGCAGACTTATTTTAGCAATTTTGTTGAACATTGTGTATGTAAAATATTATTGTTTAGAATAAAGATACGATAAATTTCCGTTAGTTAGACGGTCACCGATCAGACAACAAAACTCTATTTTATGGCATTATCGTGATATATGTCGGAACCAACTTATGGAATCCTACCGACTTATTTAACATTGGAAAATCAAAATATAGACTAGATTGTCAGTGACACTTGACACTGAATGAGATTTCTCAGTTCGCTGTACAAGTCACTAATTAGTGGTAGATGGGCTCGTCGGGGATCAGATATCAGTTCGCTATATCCGTTAGTTCGCTGTAGAGAGTTGGTAATAACGTAAATTTGATATGATAATATATATGAGATAAATCGTGGATTTTGTTGCATCCGTTTGTTCGCTCTATCCGTGTTCGTTATATTCGTGTCGTACTGTATTTACAAACGTACTGGGGTAAATAAAATACAGTCGAATTGGAACGTTAGGTGAATAAGGACTTCTGGTTCTGCATTGAAGCTATCGAAGATGTGGATTTAAGAACCCAAATAAAATCTTATTTCTTAAAACTGTATTCCAGGTATTTTATTTACCAGTTATTTGGGTAAAACATAATGGTTTGATGTTTATATTCATATATATTTAATTTCAGTATATTCTGGACAGTTATTAAGGAGAATAAATTAAATACATCGGGTAAGACATGTCACTATATTGCCAAAACGGCAAAAACAAAGTCTCATAAATCACAAAAAATAATTAATTACCTATGGGATTAGAAAAAAATCGAGTTACTAAAAATCGTATGTGCACTGGTGCAATATATCGTTCACGCGCACTAGTTTATTTTATTACTTGCGCGTGAAGAGATCACCCGTTTAATAAACATACAGCTGTATTACACATTGTGTAATACCAAAACGCGTGCTTATGTACTCTCGGAACACATTTCACGAACAAATATTGAAAGCTCTCAACATCCCTTGGCTTATTCAACGACATTGCGTGTGGAGATGAGTTGAGAGGAGCTTATGCACACTCGATGACCCCAGCAACCTTGTTGCTAGGCTGACGTCACACTGCATTGTTTGGCTGATGGATCTTGCAACAAAATTCCACAAATTACGTCATTGGGTATTGTGACGTTATTGTAAACTTTGAGGTGCAAGGTGCATGCATATTGTATGATTCAACTAACTGGATCGGTGACTCGGTGGATTGTGTTTCATTGTACCCCGACGGCCATTCGTCACCACTTGCCCCTTTCAGTAACCTAACTGCTTGTCCCCGAATAACACAAGTTGGTCACGAATGCCCCGAAGGCATGGTACGTTGTCCAAATCAACCACTGGTAAAGTTGTCAGGGACAAAATCTATTATTTACAGGCCGCCCTGATATTGCTGGAATATTGTAACTGCAGTAAAAAACAACAATTCGCAATGTGTTAGATTTATTTAAGATAGGAAAGACACCTATGAAAATATCTCAATTTACGTTTCCAGTTTCGACAAATGAAGGTTTATATCGCATAATAATACATGTCAAATGTTTACAAAAAGAAATCATATGAGTGTTATTGGGACAAAACTGCAACTTCATACCATATTTTATTATACATGTATCTTGTTCACAAACAGACGCATGAAAAGGAATTTTTCTGTACTGAAATTAACATGGGTTGCAAGGGAAAATACTCCGTGCTGCGAGGGGCTTCAAAATGCAGCTAAAACAATTGGAATGTCCTGGTTTTAACAAGTGAAAAGTCTTCCAGTAAATGTATTTACTTATGTGGTGGTATCAAACTTCACCACTGAGTCCGTGTATGTCTAACAAGTTGTTCCATGTCGAAAATGTAATGTTCACAGGCCCCGCATTTGTCCAAGTCCGCCATCTTTGTCCCTCGGCGTGCCTCCTCCTCAGTATGCGCGGAGGCGCTAGAAAGCGCTCTCAGCGTGCGTTCCGTTCATTAGGAAATATTCGGAGGTGCTCGCTAGCGCTCGCTGGCGCCTCGGCACCAAAAGGCTTATTGAATGCACCTCAGGAGTTTAACGAAGGTGCCACGCGCTTGGAAGAAGCTTGGGTATATTAACGTATTGACATCAGCTCCCTCTCAGCGTGTATTTTGCTGTGAGTTGCTTGGGTGTTGTCGGTTGAGTACTGAGGGTCTGTAGAGTGCTTTGTCCTTTGCTCCGTGCATTCACCAAGAAGAAGGCACAAAAAAGACCTCTGAAACGTCGTGACAAAGACTAAAAAAGTTGTTATCCATAAAAATTAACAAGTGTTACTGAAGCTTTATTGTTGACTACATTTAGGAGAATTTGTTCAGCATCCAGACACAATTAAGATAGCAAATTATTATCATTATTTGAAAAAAATAATTTTGCCTTTATTTAGAAACAGATGAATAATTGTTCACTGTAATTAAAATTCCTGATAATATGTCTTTACGCAGTGACTAAACTGTTCTGTGTCAAACAAACATCCATATCTATCGTACTAAAGGGATATTCCACCGAAGTGACAAATTGATATGGACGAAAATTTCTTTCAAACTCATCAACTACACACATGCGCGCGTGTGCATGTATGTGCGTCTCTGTGTTTGTGTGTGGGGGGGTGTGCGTGCGTGCGTGCGTGCGTGCGTGCGTGCGCGCGTGCGTTAATTTTTTACTTCCACTTCGGTACAGTGTTGAGATGCATTTAACAGCCGTCATTGTCGCCAGTATTGCTGTTAGGTTATCTGATATTTCTACAGCATCCGTGTGCACAGCCGCGAGTAGGGTATACCTGCTTGCTGCACTTGACTTAGAGTTAGTATCACCGCTGGACTTATCTCTGTTATTAATTGTTTTTGTATATGTCATAACCGACTAAAGAAGTTCTTTCTCTTCGTCTTCAATCTGAGCCGCATTGTGATACGTGACAGGGTCAATTGCACTTATCTGAGATAACAGCAGCTGTTTCCAGTTCGCGACACGTCGACCTAAACACCAAACGTGATATACGTGTATTTCAGTACCTACAAACACATCCGCGGGATACGTTAACATATGATACAGGCTACATGTAAAAAGTTAACACTGTATTGCAATTGTAGTTCAGGAGAAGACCACATACATTTCAGGTCAACCTCTTTCGCTAGACTGGTTCTTATCATCCTTGTCAACATTACATTGTGTTACATGATGTCGTCAATACATAGAGGTTATCACGCGAGTGTGTTTGGGGATGGTAAATATCCTGCATTAGGAATAAACATTGTATTTAGCGAGCCTTGGCGAGCTAAATACATAGTGTTTATTCCTAATACAGGATATTTACCATACCCAAACACACAAGCGTGATAACCTCTTTATCATATAATGATATTCTTTAATTCTGTGCTTCAAAATCGCTTTCCCTCTCTCACAAACATTACCGAAACATTGCAAGTTTTCCTGAAATACGCGCATTAATATTTTTTACGTCACAGGGTAAGTGATGTGTCAGTCGGACAGTGACAGTAGCCGATATAGTTCCAACTGAAATCTGTTTCTTATACAGTGGCGAAGCAACATATACGCAAAACAACAATTGTTTTTAATTGCCTTTCGCGGCAATCCATCGGTCTGTCCGCTAGAGTAACTGCCCTTTGTCAAAGGGAAGCTATTCTAACCCTAGTCTATGAGACGTCACGGCCACGGTCAGACGTTGTTGAAAGTCGGTCTGTCCTGTCATAACGTTAAGAAGTGTAGTCAGATGTACACACAGCGACAAAACGAAACAAGGTAACAATTCAAACATATTTCGGCCAAATCCAACTATTTTAATTTTTGAAGAAGGTTTCAAGCCGCAGAGGTCTACAAGCACAGATGTGGCTACTGATCCCGCTTGGCTAGGCCTCGTGCCCTCGCAAAATTGTTTCAAAAAATCTCTAAAGTTGCCAAAACTTATAAAATGCCTTAGCTACGTCACAGTTAGACACTGATTTTCAGTAAATTAGTTCTTTTGATAATGATAGCAATTATCCATGTAGTTTATCGAGATCCCCGATGGTTAATTCTGAATCGATCGCCGAATGTTTGTTTATCAACATTGTGTTACATGTAAATGCATTAGGTTCTGTTATGCGATCCATGATGACTTAGAGAACAATGCGTTAGGTTGTGTTGTATGATATCATGATGACCTAGAGAACAATTGTCGAATTGAATTGACGTCAACAATCTTCAATGTCGTTTTTAGTTTGACGTCATTCAAACCTTACGTCACAATAAGATTCGAATGACGTCAGCAATGCCAACCGTATGACCTAAACAATACACCGGTGCGTGTGAAGGGAACTTTGCACTAGTGCGCATACGATTGTTATGAACTCAGTTATTTCTTACCCTATGGGCAAATAATCGTATTTTTCATCCAGATTTCTTCCACGGGAGATATAGCTTGGAGGTATCGCTGGAATGAAATTGCTTTACAATGCTTTGAAACAATTATGTTTTACACTCACGTCACTGCTTGTGACCTTTTACAAATTGAAAAAGTTGGAAGAATTATGTTGGATGATAAATGGAATCCCACCCTTGTGTCTTTTGATATCAAATGTATCCACACACGTTGATGAAAGTTTAAAACTCCTACCTACATATCTGCCGGTTTCAATAAATACATCACGTGAGCTACAACGAAATCCAGAATGAGTTATTCTAAGCTTACGTACGTAAATTTTTATTGAAAATAAGGTTCTACCATTACAGTAAACATAGTGTTGTAATTAACTTTTCTAGAACTGACCAAGTTCCTTTGAAATATGTGACGAGCGGCTGTGGCACGTGTACATGTTGCTGTAACCAAATATAACCATAATATATACATACATAGCCGTAGCTGGGAGACATACGTCAAATGATATGTTGAGACAAAACGGGACCGCCCCCGTGGTCTAGTGAAAGAGCGTCAACCCGGAGAGCGGCCGCGTCATACCAAAAGACGTTAATAGATGGTATTTGTTGTTACCCTGTCTGTCAGGCATTTAGGGGCTAGGACAAGGACTGGTCGGCTCGGAGAAAGTATACTGTGTCTAAGTGTACCCCACTTATGTTAAATTGTGGCATGGTATGTCCGTGGGCTAGCACTATAAAATCGGATTTAGTCCGGACTGGTTCAAGCAGCCACACACTTACACGTGAATGCACGTAGCTATTAGTGCAATCATCCTGGACGCGGCGTTAAACCTAATTTCACCTGACCTCAAGATATTCGGTCTCCATATGCGTGGTATATAACTGAAATACTGACCAAAACTGCGATAAATAATATATCGCATTTTCCCCAAGGCTGAAATGTACCCCCAAGCATACAAAAATAAAATTTATTACTCAACCTCCGATAGAGATAATGAGATATGTCTTTCTACTTAAACAAACACGACATTTTATGAGAATCATTTTCGTGTATCACGGAAAGATAAGCATATCTCTACCAAAAGTGGAGTAGTATAGTTCAGCGATTGGAGTTCTTCTAGGGTCCAGCAAATACAAGTTGGTACGCGGGAACAAGAGATGTCGTGCGTATGTTGAAAACAAACGACTGATCTATACTTGGAGATTAGTCAAGTCTTACGGTCGAGTATCCTGGTCTCAATGCTTACTTATGGCCTCTGTTTCAGTGCAGTCAAAGTATCCACGCACAAGCCCATACGGCTTATTCCTGCACTCGTCTATGCCATGTGTGTGATCTTTTACAAAAGAAAAGGATTACAGAACACTTGTCAGGTTTGTCCGCTAGTCGAGGGTTCTGTCTACATTAGTAACACAAGGAATGTTAATACAAATACTATCGGTTGAAAAAGTTGATAGCATTCGCGAAAAATCTTAACGATAAAAAACACATTTATTTATACAGGGAGTGATAGTATCGGCAATGAAGTGTTCGTCGTAATTGTATATAAAACATGTATTTTTTTATCAAACAGAAGATTTTAATCGTGTGCGTTTGGGCAAAGTCGTTTTCATTTCTTGTCAAATATAATCAATAAATCACGATCGATAAAGGACCGATATTCTCCCAGGGTGTAGACTTACCTTTAGGCCAGAACGACCGTGTTTTCTGGTTTGACGGACTATCTTGTACAATACATGCATGTCAAGATGCTGAAGTCAAAATAATGGGTTTTATTGAACATCAATTACATGAAATCAAATTTTGTATTAGTTACCTCTAGGATATTGAACATGTTTGTGGATAATAAGTTACTCGTATGTTTTTACTAACATAAGGTTTGAAATAAAAATTACCACAAAACATTTGACAGGTGGGGATTTTGCAAATTCAAAGCAGGCCCATTCGTAAAGACAAAGTGTAATATTAATTTCATTAATCACATCACCTCTTTTATCCCCTAATTATTCCTGACAGAACAATCCCTAAAAGTTGCGGACCGCCTCCGTGGTCTTGTGGTAGAGCGTCCGCCCGGAGAGCGGAAGGTCCAGGGTTCGATCCCGGGCCGCGTCATACAAAAAGACGTTAAAAGATTGTACTTGTTGTTACCCTGTCTGGCGCTCGGCATTAAGGGGCTAAAACAAGGACTGGTCGGCTCGGAGTCAGTATACTGTGTCTGAGTGGGGTATTCATGTTAAACTGCGGCATGGTATCTCAGTGAGCTAGCACTATAAATCGGCATCAGTCCGGACTAGTACAAGCAGCCACACACACACATACACGTGCATGCACGTCGCTATATAAGTGCAATAATCTTGGACGCGACGTTAAACCCAATTTCACCTCACCTCACCCTAAAAGTTGCGAATAAAAGTGTTTGTTAATGCTATGTCTCAATATCTGGAAACATCTAATTAATGTGGTGATCAATGAAAAATGTAGCTGTTTTCATATTTCTGTTTTATTCACAGAGCCCGTCGCCTTAAAACTTTTAAAGCGGCCACGAAACATAAAATTAATACGACGCTTTTCAGGATACGAAGCGACAATGGCTATCGCCGTGTCGCCTCTCTCTTCCCAACACGGCGAAACCGGGCCAGTCCCCTCAAGTGCTATCGCTTACACAGGTGATAATGTTAAGAATCTACAAACACAAGCGATTCTCCTCCCATTCAGCCAAGATTTATTACCTCATAAGACTTTTTAAGTCTTACGCTTGCGAATTCTTTCAGTTTCTTTTGAGACCTGTACAATGGAGAACGATCGATCTTTGTTCTTTGGAGCACTTACCCTCTTCCAACACAACTTGTTAGTGTTGTAATTGTTATTGACATGGGGTTTGGTCATTAAGGCTGGTGTGAGAATAATTAAGGTGAACCTTAAGGTGACGGGTTTCGGTTCGTCAACTTTAAAACAGCTAAACGTGTTCTGAGCCGAAGACTGGATGAGTGCGGCGTTAAACAACAAACAAACAAACAAACATAACCTGGGACGGACAACTGTGAGTGAATTGAGTTTTTCGCAGCTTTGAACATTATTTCAATTTCAACACGAGTTGGGAGGCTACAATGCGAAGATCATGGACGTTTACTTCTTCCGTGAAACCTGCTAGCACGGGTAGGGTGATGATCGATCAAGGAACATAATCGGGACTAATTGTTATAACCCACTAGATCAGCGGATCACCGTACGAATAAGGGCCGTAACTCGGCACAACAAGCTGCGGCGTATTGGACAAATAGACCACCCGAAACCCCGGATGAGCAATGATAAACTACAGTGTATAACGTTGTCTTGACCAGTCGACACTTGAAGACACTTGAAGACGCAGAAGGCTCTTCGAGACAGTAAAACTAAACTGAAAAAAAGACGGCAGGTTTTGGATTTGTTGCCGTGCCTTCCAATACTGATGCAAGTGGACAGTCCACCTGTCGACGTTGTTCGTCGTCATCAACAACCATAGGCCACATAGTAGCATACAACCTCGAGGCCATTGCCGGACCGACAAATGCGAATATGTTTTAATACGAATTTATTATGAGTTGGAGACGAGTCACTTCAGACTCTTTTCACGTGTTTAATTTGTAGCTAAGAAACCCAGTACTCGCTGAGGCCTTTCGTGTCCTGTTTGTCAGCCATGAACGAAACATAAATCTACAGATCAGTGTTAAGAACGCTACCTATGGTGTCACTTGTTTGAAGCTGGACTTCCTGGTTCTAACTTAAGAGTGTGAGTATTATTGAAGAAAGCCCTCGTGTATTAATGGATCTCTTGAAACCTATATTCAATATCTTTGGAATGAACTTTTTGTTTGATGCAGTCGAGCTGAATGTGTCGAGACATATCAGGCGGAAACAAAGAACTCTGAAACCTACCACGCTGGTGGCACTCAAACCCTCCTACTTATTTTCACTGTTTTAATTCACGCCTGGGCGTTTATGGGGCAAGAACTTTGCGGGGGAGATGGTGTCCTGTTCCAGTGTTTGTTCGACGAATACAAAGATAATATCAACACATTGCGAGTCTCCTTTCTCATATAGCAGTGCGGCTGCACATTTGAATTGACAAAGATTAAACAATAATTGAACCTTGGAAATTTGAATGGTGTTGGAGCTGTGCACACTATCTGGTTATACATCTGATCTGGCGCGAGTCGGTCGACAGCAGGAAATTGATTCTTTAAGAGGAAGTATTGATTATTGCATGGTTGAAACACTGAATAACTTCTGAAATTCTAATCCAGATAGTGAACAAAGAATACTAAATCAATTATGTACAATTGTTAGTAACGGGTGCATATCGGATAATCCGTTAATACCCCAGGGGTTCAAGACTGTGAATGCTGTCAGCATTTGGCTGAAGACGAGTGTTGACATGTATATTAAAAGTGAACGAAATGTTTAATACTGTCGGACGTCGATATATCACATCTGGTCAGGGACATTCTTGTAACCACTGCAACCAACAGACCACTGGATTTACCGTTTGCACACCTGTGTATACAAGAGGCGTGGGATCTTCTTTCAACAGCGTCCTGACTCTCAAATCATGAGTTTGAATCCCAACCTAGGTCATCTGTACCACGACAACAGTATTGGCGGAACACTGACATCCATCGATGCTCGGGAGCAACTGCGCATGCGTGAGATAAATAGGCGCGAGCAGCGATATCTAGCTCACCACACGTGCATCCTGGACCGCGCAAAAGACATCTGTGACCGATCGCGAAGATGGGAACAGGAAAATGTTAAACGACAGATTAAAAAGATCAAAGAGAAGACTCTATCACTTGAAAAGAATCTCAAACAAGAAGCCAAACGCTCCGCAGATCACCAAATTAAGTCTTCTGTAACGTCTGCTCCATGTCTAGTCAGCAGAAACAGTATATTTGCCAGCTTACCCAGGCAGGTTAAATCAGCTTCCGACTTAACAGTCTCACCAACGCGACATGTTGTCAAGTCGAACAGTTTTCAGAAGCGCAGCAACCATGTGGTGCGGGCTCTGTTGAAAATGTACAGTCGGAGTGATGAAAGGAGGCGCCAGAGCCTGGAACAACCCTACCAGCTGGACCCGGCGCAGATTGATATCCTCCACCGAGCCCGGGTTGTCCTCAAAGGGACCGACTCGGAGGATGAGGTGTTGAAGATGCTCGGAGGTGTCTCAGGGGGACATAGACCTCAGCCACCAGATTTGTCGTCGGAACAGGTGGACTTCCGGCCAAACCGGAAACAACACGGCAGAAACGGTGGGGATTCTGAGTCAGATGTTGACGGTCATCAAGCTTCATGGACTCTATTCACGAAGTTACCTGAAGTATGGAAACAGGAGTCTGGGATGAGATCTGGGCCCGATGTCGGCAAACCTAAACTAGTGACCATCACAGCGAAATACAGGAAATCAAGAGTATGCTAAGGTATCATTGTATGTAGCCTATCAACATGCTTGCGCATCTTTGATAATGTTTTACCATTTCCGAACATTGAGATTTTGTTTATGGAACGAATGAGTTACTGACACTCTTCTCGTGTTGTTGCTTTTTACCAATTATGAGATAGGCTCTTGTGTCAGCTGTGTCATTCACTGATTGAGCTAATGATCCGCCACTATCCACCTTGACGAATCGACCAGAACTGAAAATTGATAATTTTGATTCATGGAAAAGATGCTGTGAAACCGCATCACTCTGCAATCCCGTTTCCGGACATAACTGTCAGGAGTGGCTGTGCATATTCAAAGGGCATATAGCTCAGTGTCCACGATATGATTCAGAAAATGTTGTCAGGACGATTTCACCGAGAACGGTAGTCCGGATTTTCGGGGTTTCATTGTATTTATATGGATCACTCTGTCAACAGTGAACAAAACTATAGGCTTCTCAAAATCTTGGTTCATTGATGTTTTTTTTTATGATATTCATAAAAGTCCGAATAAAAATCATGCACATAGTTACTTTCTTCCACTGCCTTTCGTATATTTTCATCTTCCTTTCGCGTGTTATAGGAAAACGTATTGTTCACAATTTTAACAATTCTATCGATTTCATTTCTTGACAGCTGTCTCACTGAAACCAATGGATTATTTTGAATTGAAATAACATGTCATGCATACGAATACTAGTGTTTGAAGGGGAAAACCGACATTTCTAACCCCAGAATTAGAAGATAAACATTGCGCCTTTTTTATGTAGAGCTAGGTATCACCTGTAGATTTAACCCCACTAAACTGAATTTGGAAGCGAACGCGCTGCGTGAGGTCTCAAGGTTACATGACATTACATGAATCAATGTAAGGATTACTCATTACTCGAGACACTAAGCTTCATAGGAGTCTCCTGATAACATTGTACGTTTACTTGGGAATGTTTTCGTTACATATGATGGCAGGGTGTCGACGCGTGAAGATTTTAACAGAATACATCTCGTAGCGTCCTTTTTCCAACGAGTATTACGGATACATAGAGCTTGCAGTTTCTGCCTTGATGGTTGTCTAACCTCATACATAATGGGTTTCCAAAAGCATCTAATTTTCATCAAAACTGACTGCAAAATGCTTCCTTTACAGTGTGTTACTAGAACCCTACCGCCTTCAATGTGACTTGATAACCAAACTTTTACCATGGTTTGTCCAAACATCGTAAGGATCATCTATAAGTTTTGTGAACTTGTTATAATTTTTTTATGTTCATTTCATTGGTAACTTTGAGCTTCACTCTCACCAATACAATACTGGAACACAACAAAAAATGTCTGTACTCCAATACAATATATCTAAATAAGTGTTCACAATTTTGTGATATGAATGAATAACAGATCACATGACCCATATTGGCAACATCCTAATGTATATTCACTCATTGAGAACTGCTTTGTATACTCAAGTATTAAAATGATAATATGGGACTTTTGAGTTGATTTTTGTGACATACTTAACCCCAGTTGAACATACTATCATGACAAGGCAATATGGTGGATGGCTTATGTTATTGACATTTAAAAGGTGAATAAGTGGCGTATGTGTTCAGTCATTCATTGAGCAAGTGAGATAAATGCCTATACCACCGAAATCTGGATCACTTTCGTCAGTATCAGGGTCAGGAACACCCAGAAAAGCAATCACCTGTAATACAGGAAATGAGGACCACGATACTGACAAAGCTTTGCTGAGGGAGAGGATAAATTTATTTATGGTGAACTGTTTTTAATGATTGAACTGTGTGAATAGTTTCTCTTGACAAGTGAGGTAAGGTGAGGTGAAATGGGATTTAAACGTTGGTGTCCAAGATTATTGCGAATTGCATACACGTGTGTGTGTGGGGGTTGCTTGTACTAGTCTGGACTGATGTTTATTTTATAGCGCTAGCCCACTGAGATACCATGCCTCATTTTAACATGGATACCCCATCCAGTGACAGTATACGGACACAGAGCCAACCAGTCCTTGTTTTAGCCCCCTAATGCTGAGTGCAAGGGTGGGTAACAACATGAACCATCTTTTAATGTCTTTTGGTATGACGAGACTGGGGATCAAAACCCGGGCAGGCACTCTGCCACTAGACCACAGAGGTGTTCCTCTTGACAAATAAATACAGCACCTGAACAAGGAAATAACATATCAATCAGATATTCACGACATTAGAAGAATAACGCTTTTGAGCAATTTCTTCAGTTTAGTTTTGCAGAGCCAAAGCCCAACTGCATCCACATATGAACTGAAGGCAAAATATATGTAACATCAGGTGGTGAACTTCCCCCAAAATTAAATGACAGACACATGACTCCAGTTATTTACATTTATTGCTGCCATGTAGGATGTTATACAATAAGAATGTATACAATTGTGAGACAGCACTGATCAAGCAGCGGCCATCAATTACAGGGAATGAATGAGAATTAAGTTCTGGTAGGCCAAAGAAATGATGTGTTTGACTGAGGAATTAAGAATCTTCATGTACAAAAATGAAAGTCAAAAATTGACATAATATGCAAAATGCATGTTTTCAGTGATGAATTGAACATGAAAATGATTGTTACCCCCTTATTTACACTGGAATCTAAAATAACGATGTCTGTTATATCTGAAATCATTCATCTTTCCCAGAACATGACCAACACCGGTAACATATCATTACAGACTCTGGTTTAAAACAAATCTTGTACACATGATAGTCCAGTAACAACCAGATAACAACACAAACCCCATGGTAAGAATTGTCAAATGACGTTTTCGGTTTTAAACAATTTCCAGAAACAAGCATAAATGTCAAGTCCTTCCTTGACAGACGATATGATCTGGAATAGTGTGAACACAGACATTTCTTTGACACATCTCAAAAGTAATTCAAAATTACTGATGGGACAAGAACTGAAAATATTTGTGAAAGTCTATACAGGTGGTTTCAAGTTCCCACTCTCTAGGCAGTTGACATAACATCCTATACCGACAGTAATAGTTGTCTCTCTGCACGTCGCTCCACAAGCGATGTCACACAGCACTTAGAGAATAATACAAACATTCTCGCATTCAGCAGGCAGGCATTCTTCTTTCATGTATCCATCCACTCACAGACATGTATAAAAGGTTCAGCCAGTTTCACTTGACCAATCCTAGTTTCTTGGCTTCTGTCTCATACACTAATAATCTCCACATTTTGACCACAAACACTTCAGCTTCTTCATCCAGAACCTGAAAAATAACAGCATAATTACTTACTTTGAATTTCCAATAAAGGACTTAAACATAAAGCAGTTAATGAGAGAGAGAGCTATTGCTTTTATTATCACAGTTAGTTACATACCAGCAGCGTCATATTCACGTCAAACTGTAATAATTAAGCACTAGCCAGGCAAACATGGGGCCACAATAACAATCAGCCAGGTCTCAACCATTCAACCAACTGCTCCTCATCCTCACTGGGGACGTAGGTCATAAAGCTATAACACAAGCAGCTCTCAACTACAGCTGGTAACTACATAACTGAACTCAAAATATTTAATTATAATATTCAATATAAGACCACTCACCAGCATATATTGCTGTGTAACCCCTCATGATAACCATACTGAACAATTATTTTATATCATGACATTCATGAAATCACCACAGGATTATATGGCTGGTTATTAAATTCATCAAACCGTCAATGAATGAGTGAGTGATTGAAAGAGTTGGGTTTAACACCAATTTGAACAATATGCCAATCATATCATGGCATGTCAGCTTATAATAAGCAAATGTATATCTCTAAAGGCAACTAGGTATGTGCACCTACCATTGCTACATCATTCTGTATACTCTGTGGTGTGCTCCTGGCAACAACCTTTTGACAGATGAAGTCCGTCAGCGTAGGTTCCTCCTCTCCAATGTACTCAATGATCTTCTTATTCACCCATGGTTTGATGCGCTTGTCCATGAGACTCTGAAACAGCACCAGCAGCAAAACAGTCAAAACATGTAGTTTTGTTTTGTCACACATAAATCACCGAGCCTGGCCACCCGATTCCAATAGTCGCCTTTTACGGCAAACATGGGTTGCTGAAGACCTATTCTACCCCGGATCTTCACGGGCCCACTGCTTAGTCATATTTAATGAACAGATAAGTTATCACTGACAGATGAATATGTGAGTGAGTAGGGTTGGGTTTCATGCTGCTTTGAACAGTATTCCAGTTATATCATGGCATGTCAACTTGATGAGGGGGCAAAACCTGTGATGCAGGTCAGATATTTACCAACCATGACAGGTATGGTGCTGATGAACCTTGAAATATAATTGGGGCAAACCGGGATTCAAACCTACAATGATCATAGGTAACTCTGCACAGCCAAGTGTGGCACCTTACACGATTGGGCCACCCGTGCCTCAAGTAAATTCATGAACAAACATTACAATATTTCAACATTCTCTTTAGTACTAACAAATTCACAAAAGTGCTCATTTCCAAGTGACTTCGTCATACCTGGTCCACAATATTCCAATCAAGTTTATAGTTGAACAATTCATCTTTGGCTGTCGGAATGCTTTCAATAAGGTGTTTAATGCGCTGTCGCTTTTCCTCTGCAGTTGATGGTTTCTTATCCCCCTTCTCTTCATCATAATCCAAGGGGATCAACTTCCTTTTCTTTGAGTCCATACTGTCCTCATCATCTTGATTAAATACATCCCCCACTGTAAGCTTCTTCCTCTTAGTGCCACTGCCTTCACTTGGACTTGCTGAGCCTACAAATAAACCATGTAAAGAACTTTATCAGGTCATCGTTCATTTCTTTGAAGTAAGAGCTTTTGTTTCAAGGTACAAGATAGAACTAGCAACACAATATAATCAAACAACATTTTTTTTAATCAGTTAACCATAAAAGTTTCCATTTGGCAGTCATGAAGCAATCTGATTTAAGGTATTCTTTGGGAGACTGAACATCACCTACTATATTTGAGTGACTAATATGAAAAATGGGTAATTTTTCCTGATTAAAAAAATTACTTTACAATACGCTCATGGTAATTTCAAACATTCTTTTCCTTCAAACTAGCAGACAGAATAACATACCAAGCTTGAGACCACTAAAACCGAGCTTTGTTGGTTCATCTTTCATGGCTTGACCCATGGTGGGTGGCTGGCTGTCATCTGAGTAGTTGACACTGGGGAAGCTGCCTCTAGTGTCTTCATCTGACGAACTAGCTTCATTTGATGGGGGTGATGCTTTCACTTCCACTGGCTTCAGTGTTGGTTGCATCTTAGATTTAGAATCTGAGTCTGAGTTGTGGACAACTGGTGGTGGGGGTTCCTCCTTGACCACCTCCTTCTCTGGTGTGGAGGGTTCGGATTCTTGAAGATGTAATCGGGGCTGCAGGTGCTCCTCTCGTTCCTTCTCCAGCTACAATCAGAGTATAAGAGCTAGGATTGCGTTTTTGCATGACATGTCAGCTTAACGTTGTCAGAAATCCAAAAGTGGCACAGATGGAGACATTTACCATTTCTATGAAACCCACAAGCATAGGCATGGGCCTGACAGATCAAGTATTATCATTGCAAATCAAAGTCACAACAAAAGGAAGCAATTCTACACAGTGAACCATGCCACATAAAAATACAGAAAGGTTATAGATTCTGATTGTTAAAAGCTTACATCAATTCCTTTAAAATCTAAGATCTGTAATCAGGGCAAGAAGTGGTTGGTTATACTAGCGAGTGAGTCTACACAGTTTTTAGCAACAGTCAAGCCATATAATAGCTGTTGAAAAAACACCAAAGGAATGTCACCGTAAATTAACAATATTGGAGAGGGTTTTCCACAGTTCTCACAATTTCAAGTAACATGCTTCAGGGAACAGCTGATATACATTTTCATCACATCTAACAAAATATATTGGGAACTGGACATTTCTTCTCCCATGAAATCCCAACATCAGGATAACACTATAGACTCTTCTATTCATACATTAAAGGATATTTTGGAAGACAGATTACAGTAATTTTTCACATTTCTGTTGTATGCAGTATTACAGATCCTCCTACCCTAGCCAGTTCTGCATCTGGATCAGGATGGCCCTCCTCCATGAGTTTCCTCCGTAGTTCTTCATATTCTTCCTTCTCTCTCTGTCTATCTCTCGAGTCAGCTTCTTTTTCCTTCTCTCTCTCCTTCAGTCTTCTAGCTAATGCACTGCCCCTGTAAAAATAAATTAATGATATAACTTTCATGAATGAAATTGTGATCTTATTGTATTTTTGCATGTGCAAATATTAACATGACTAAGGTCAATTTTCCTTTAAAAAAGTAATCTTTTATGGATGTTTTGTGTCACTCAATATGAAAACAAAACATTTTAATCACTTAATCCATACATGGGTCAATTCATATCAAAGGCAACTTAAGTTTGAAAAGTACAAATATTTTTAGTATATTCACCATGGACAAACATAGATTAAAGATCAACAGACTCCTTGTTTCACACTTACTTGAAATACTTTGGGTCATCTCTGAGATCATCATAATCTTCCAAGAATTCTTTCAACCTTCTTGCTTCCCTTTGCTGAAAAAACAGATCGGAGATGATCATCATAGAAGGCATAAGAAAAAACAATACCAAAAACAATACCTCAAACAGTACCAGTTACATGCTTGGTCACATTTACCTTGAAAGGAAGTTACATTGGTTTCTTGAAGTAGATGATTTGTTATATCTAGTGTAAACTACAGAATGAAACAATTACGTAGCCTTACCACTGTTGCTACCTATGAGTTGGTTTGTCTGAAGCCTGTATCTATATGACACCCCCAGGTTTCCATGGACAAATCAATCTTTCTTAGGAGCTGCCTTTTCCATTACTATGCACTGAATAAACTCAGGGGTTTACCTTAGAGAGAATTAACTCTTCAACTCACCTCTTCTGCTTTTCTCTCCTCTTCTCTCTCCTTCTCTTTGTCATATTCTCGAGATTTCTTCCTTTCTCTTGCCTCCCAGTTTTTCAGTCTCTGTTAAACAATGCATTCACATACATAACTTGCCATATATGTTTTGTATAGTGTGTACATTAGTTAAATGTGTATTAAGTATCTTAGTCAGTGGAGTTAAAATTTAGGTTCAAGTCAAGACATTACCACTATTAAATTGTTTAATAGAAAGCTGTGGGGCTATTTATATATCTTACTGGTTGGCAAATGTTTTCAAATATGAATTGAACTAACCTCCTGGTATGCTGCCTCCTTCTCTCGGAGCTTCTTCTCCAGCTTCCGTCTCTCATAGGCTTCTTCCTCTTCCTCCAATTCTCTCTCCTTCCTCCTGAACATGCATTACAAATTGAATAACACTGTGCACAATGTTCAGTGAGTGAGTGAATGGGAGAGTGGGTGAGTTGGTTTTAATGCCGCTTTTAACAGTATTCCAGTTATATCACAGCGTGTCAGCTTAATGTGGGAGGAAAGTCTGAAGTGATGACGTTTACCACTTCGGTGAAACCCACGAGCACGGGTATGGTGGTCACAAATAAAAACATCGTGGCGACCCGAGATTCAAACCAACAATCATAGGTTTCTGGCGTGCCCAAGGGACGCAACTCTGCACAGCGAATCACGGCGCCTAAGATGACTGGGCCCCCCGTGCCCCCCTGCACAATGTTCAATTGGTGGACAAATCATGCCACTTAATTGGATTTTCCTATGTCATCTGCCCATCTTACAAATCAAGTTTTGATTTCATTTTTATAAGTCTGGATCACTTGATTTTGCCAGACATATATCAGTATAGAGTATCAGAGGTGGTTTTCAAATTCTTTCATTTCAAAATTAGTTCCCTTTGATAGAGGGTGACCAAATCAATTTCTTGCCTGAAATGATATCTCACCTTTCTCGTGATCTGTCTCTGGATCTGTCACGTGATCTAGATCTTCGTCTGGATCTTCTCGGTGATGGCGACCGAGAACGGGATCGGGTTTTTTCTCTTAGGGCCTTCTCTCTTTCCCTCATTCTTTCCCTCTCTTTTTCTCTCATTCTCTCCCGCTCACGACGTCTTTGTTTATCTTCAGTCCGCCGTTCACGCTCTGTGGTGTCCGCATCTTCTTCCTCATCCTACAATAACGAGCAAACATAATTCTTAGTAATAAGTCTCAAATAGACAGAGAAACACATATTCCCAACGCAATCAGAATATTTACATGTCAACATAAATGACAGCATTTTAAGACTTATGAGCAGAACTTAATTGTGATTTTGTCGAAACCTTCAGACTGATGTCACAACTAAACTCATCTCAGGATGTCTGACCCATACCTTGCAAATGACAAAGTTTACTCAACCGAACCATACATTTTCTGATGAAAGTGAAAGAACATGCACATTTACGACCGGCACAGAAATATGAACATGTGACATAAAAAGATGGTGAGCTTATGGAGATAGGTTTCTTGTTTACGAGGAAGACAATCGCAGTGAACACATGACTGAAAAGGACACCACATGAATCAGATCGATACATCCAAGATGAAAAAAACCCAAAACTTCTTACAGTTTTGACCACGTTGAGGTTCACATCTGAATGACTCATCAATTACTAAATAACATACAAGTAACCACGACACAGCTTTCAAGCTGTTTAGGTTTGGTGATTATTGTATAGATTTCATCAGTTTTTATTACAGGACAATGGGATGTGGTATGCAAAGTAACACAGGAAACGGTACAGATATAGACATATGGACTGACAAGAATGAATGCTGGTGAATCTATCAGTCAAACATTCTCATTCAGTCAACTGGCCAGACTGAATGGCCACATGTGCATATAGAGATGTTAATGACAAGAGCAAAATGCATAAAACCACGCATGTCTGCTTAAAGTTAGCAAACTACACTGATGGTAAGTGTACTTCTCTGACCCGCTCAGCTGTCTCCCGACAGTCTCCACTTCAACTCCTGTTAACAAAGTATGGCTAGCAAATATCCTTCAATCAGGTAGCTGCTAGTAGATCAAAAAAGTAAACGTGTTATCCCCAAACACCCACCCCAGCAAAGAGGATAGAAAAGACAGAAAACATTCCCCACCCACTTGTTTTTCAACAGGTGCTGTAATGTTTGTGTGACTACTAATACAACACATACACGGAAGGCTGAAACAAAAAGAAACCTGATAAAGCAAATACCGACACAAAAAAGATTTGTGTCACATCTCTCTACCAACTTACCCATCCATACACAACCATCTCGGCAGTAGAAATTAACTGAGATTTCCATTCAACACCTGGCTTTAACCAAGCTTATATCTGTGAAGAGATTTACCCTTGAGCTCCTGAAAAGTGTTCAACTAATACCTGTCTAAATAAATATGCAAAGAGTAAATACAACAACAGTAGAAACAAAAGCCACTAACCTCAACATCTATCTGCCATCACCAAGATAAAGAACTTTCAAAAATAATTTTAGGGGCACTAACCTTATTTTAATCTTGCAAGGTGGTCATCCGAGTCACGACAGAAGAGCTAATATGGGTATGTTCTAAAGCACAGGTGTACCTATTACATGGTTCCAGGAGCAAATATTGTACAAATGTGATGTAATACGGTTTTGTTTTTGGAAACGTTCCATGGACAGGAACAATTACATCAAAATTAGCTTAGTGAAGATTACAATGAATCTTTACATAAGACCATGCATACTAACCGATAGAGATAACCGAAACCATGACAGCTCTAAAAGGCAACTACGAAGAATCTACTCGGCGCGTCACTCACCCATCTTGAGGCATCGAGGGATATGCGTAACATATATCACAAACAATATTGTGGCAACACTTACCAAAAGGGGCCTTCAATATATTTTTTTACAGCTATTCATGTTGCTCAGATGCTTGCCAGATAGCAGAATCTAGTGTTTTTAGGTAATGAAATACAGCCTATTAATTTCAAGTCAGATTAAAACGGATAGTAATTGCAAAGCAGTATTTAATTTCAGCTTTTTTGTCTCGGCAATCTCATAACAATAAAGTTTAAGATGGTCACTTATACGCAATGAGAAGCGCAAACAAGTTTGAATGACACGAATACATTAAGTGTAACAAATCAATTAACCAATTTTCAAATCAGGAAGATTTCACGCAACAGGATACATCTGTTGAATCAACAAACATACATGGATCAATCATGTCATTAAATATCTGTGAAGCTGGAATTTTGGCATTATTTGAAAGGGAAAGATTCTCATGTCCTTCTTGAAGAGTGCCATTTAAACATTCCCATTTGTCCCAATTACAAAATGCCAAGATTCCAAGTCCACACAGACCTGTATTGTTTGAGACAAGTAAGAAGCATGATTAAAGAACAGATGGGTTAGGTCATATAGTTACCTTGTGTAAATCACGAAAGGACTGGATTTCTCTGTTTATTATCTGAAGCTTGTCTTCCTCCAGTTCCATATCATCAAGACCCTAAAATAAGCAGAAGATGATGAAACTATGATGAAACCACACTGTCTTTCTTCAATATACATGTATTCATTTCTTTAATACCGCCCTACACATACTGTAAACATGTTTACCTCTTTCAACACTGTAAGCCGGTACACCAGCCAAGAAGCTTCAAGTCCCCAGACACCGCAGGGCGGTCTACCGGCCAAGCCGGAGTCACGTCAAAATAGTATATAGTTTTATTAACCTACCTGTCATATCATACATTAATTAAATCTATCACAATTCACAATGTCTGAAATACGTATTCCATTTCAATTTATCATTTTTTATCCCGCAATGTTATTCAAAATAAAATTTTCAAACACTTCAAAAACGGGTCCACATCAAACATGTCAAAGAGCAAAGTAAAGGTGTTTCAAGAAAATCTTTAAATATAGTATACAAAATAATAAATAAAATCAACAAAAATGTATGTTAAAGTTGTCAAACTTATATTTGTGTTATTATTTCCATCTTTTCGTGCGATCGTGTGTAAGTCAAATGTAGACAAATGTAATGTAAGTCAAATGACATCTCCGCTTTAGTCGCCTAAATTTATCAGCCCAGACACAATGTTTAATGCCGAAATATATGCATGAAAAATCTTTGTCACAGCTCGTGACCTAGCAGCACGATACATCCACAAAGTTCCATATTTTTCGTATAGATCGCAATTTCCTGCTTAAAACGTTCTGAATAACACATTTTAACAAAAGCCTTTCGTCAAAATCTGAAATTCATCATACACAAGGACAGTACCATTGCTGTTATTTGATTGGTTGCCTTAGGTCACATATTTTTTTGATTTACAACAAACTTAATTAAGTTGTAAATGCATTTAAATAATGTGATAAACATAACTTTCATATGAATAATCAGTAGGATTAGACCTTTCAGATGGTGTAGAATATGTAGTAGGAAAGATGTTTTACAAGCAGATGTTTTCCTTGATAAATGTTGGCTTCATCTACCACACAAGACTCTCTGGGAACTTGGTGTCACAGCAGTAAAAGCTTCTGGGCGACTGGTGTTGAAAGAGTTCACATCCAAGTGACAAAATAAGTTTAGAGCTATGAGCAGGAACACCAGTGGTTAAAAGCACTTAAATGATGTCTTATACGCATCTTATAACATTAAGGCATGACAGTAAACATGTTAAACTGCAGAAGATCAATGATACAAAAACTTTGCCTTACCGTATCTGCTATGATTCCCTTGTCTTCCTTCTTCTTCGGCCTCTCTTTCGGTTCTTTGTCTTGTTCTACAACGGAAGTGGAACCATACAATCTTGAGTTGTGAGCATGACAAGTTCAAAAGCAAGGTTAGACACATAAAATGATAAAGGGGAACACACACTTTTAGATTTGAAGATCTACAGGTGACAACATTGTTTCCTTAGACTAGATTTTACTGAAGCCCTGAATTAGAAACCAGTACAGGAAGAAAGAAACCAGTAAGTCAACAAGTTCAGTGATCAAGAACACTGAGACAATTTGCAGAGTGTCTTCATTTTTTTAAATGACCATTTTAAAACTTTCTGCTTTCAAAATAGCTTTCAAGAAATATAAGCATAATATATAAGTCACAATTGAAGATATCCATGGGAAAAACACCCCAACTCTACAAACATTCAATGCCTGCTTACCAGAGTATGAAGGTTTTGATAATTCAAATGTATATTCTCTCATGATCGCCTCCAGACCAGCTCGTGCCACTCGATCTTCTCTCTTTCCATCCTCATCGAGTTCATCATCATCTTCTAGAGGTTTCGTTTCTTCCTCACCCTCCTTCTCTCCATTAGACTGTTTATCATCACCATTCTCGGAACTGGCCTCCTTTGCCTTCTTTTTCGCTCGATATTCATCTAGCAATGTCTTTGTTTTGGCATCAACTTTAACCTTGACAAAACAAAAGATTGAGATAGTAACACTGCTACAGCATTTTAGTCAGATCACAGTGTGTCATCCTAATGTGGGATGAAAGACCATAGAGTTTCAGGTCTAAGTGGTTACCACTTTGGTGAAAATCTTAAACGTAGGTATAAATATGTCAAGACAGAGAACAACACCAAGTGCTTCCCTCAAATATCTAGATCTTGGATGGCCAAGGAAAACAGTTAGACAGTGAATTGCAATGCCCCAGACAACTGGGCACTGACCACCCAACTGGAGACTCAAATCTCATATTAGAAATAAAAAATTGAGAATAATATTGATGTTATTTAATATGGGTTCATTTTTATCCATTGGTCTCAGCAAGACATAACTTATTGTACTCACAACTAATTTCTTATCTGCAATATTCCATTCATTGAGCAGTCGAATACATCGCAATGTGGCTTCTGGGTCTTCATATTCACAGAAACCAAAAGCTGAAAAAAAGATACAATATTCATAACTGAAATTTTAACGTAAATTAATATGTCGCTATGTCAGTGAATTTAATTGCATCATGTTGTAGATTTTTAGAACATACTACCATGATCCACCCATGATCTTGAACTGAGATTTCATTGCATCTATACAACAGGATGTAGCAAAACACTTCAAAGTAGCAACAGAAATGATTCTATTCCTATAGAAAATACACACAAAAATACCTTGCAATTTTCCTGAAGCACCTTGAACTCTTTTCCAACTGAGCACATTTCCGCACCTCTGAAATATATATAAAAAAAGGTTGTTTAATTGAACATAGGACATCTTATTTAAGGTGTTAGGATTGATTCAGGGTTAGAAACTGGCACTAGTCCTATGGTCCTTGCCAAACTGCCCAATGGTAAAGGTATCATAAGGACTAGTAGAAAATTGCCATTTTTAAGGGTTTTGCTATTTGTTATCATTATAAGGACTAGTGGACAAAAACTAAGTTTCTAACGCTGTTGATTGAATAATCAGTTTATTGCATTTGTCCTAAAACTTATCAGTTAGATAATGAACCTACATGACAGGCAAATTGGGGAAGAATCATTTATTTTGTTCAAAATTGGGATTAAAAAAAAAGTTTTTTATTTTCCTAAATTCTGAGATAACATCTGCTGCAGACTTGGAGCCGAATATCAGCCTTTGAGCAGGTCCAAGTGAATTGATGCTATCACTGATTTTGATAAGCATAACCATAACATGATATTAGATTACCATAATGACCAGTGGCAGAGAAGTTCATTTTGGATTGTTGTTAACAACTTAAGGAATGAGGATGTTCCAAACTGGCTATTTTGTCTTAAAATCAAAAGCATGTATGCACACAGTGCTTAGACATACTGTACTCTTAACAAAGAGGTACTGTTAATCTGGAAACTTTTGCACCATGAATGCGAGTTTCAAACCCGCTTTTGTGTTGGTTACAACTACACATAAGAGTAATTTTCCTTTTGGTTTGAGTAGCGACGTGAGAAAATGGCCGTCTTTGAGATTGTTAACAATATTTTATTCATTTCTATTACATTGATTAATGAAATTATCAAGCCATACAGTTGGTTTATTGCTATCGCAATAACTACACATACATGTGCTGTTATACCATAGTAGACAGGGTTTTCATCTTCCACTGGCTTATGTCTGGTGAGTGAGAGTTGGGTTTAATGCCGCTTTTAACATTATTCCAGTGTCAGCTTAATATGGGAGGAAAGCCCAAAGTGATGCAGGTCTCGGAAGTTTACTACTTCGGTGAAACCCACAAGCACGGGTATGGTGCTGACAAACCTTGAAACAAAATTGGGGTGAACCGGGATTCGAACCCACAATCATAGATTTCTGGCATGACTAATTGTGTAAATACACACAGAATTTCTTTGGAAACACGACCTCAAAAGTACTTGGTGTAATGACAGTGACCTTAAGTATATACAAATACATGTTATGTTAAGTTTAACAACCCAAACTCAATGAAAATGTACCACCATCATGTTTTATTGGTTGGTTGCTCTAACATCGCACTCAACAATATTCCAGCCATATGATGGCAGTCTGTAAAAGTTTGGAGGAGACAGTCCAGTGATGGACATAATGACCATTGATCTACCCAAATGGGAAATGATGACATGCAACAATGACTATGTCAGCGAGTCTGACCACCCCATTCTGTTAGTCATCTCTTAATCAAACACATCAAAATTTCAAATTCGGTAATCATGGTAATGTTAACAAAGCATGTTAAAATGGCATACCTGTAACATCTGTTTTATCATCATGTCAGGAGCCCTGTCACTGATGTTGCCTATGAATACTGTTGTGACTGGTGGCTTCTCATCTTTCTTGTCATCCTGAAACAGAGACATATCAACCAGTGTCCCAAATTCAAAGGGTGCTTGTCACTGCCCTTATGCTAAAAGTTAAAGATTTAAGTACAGCCCTAGGAGAAAACCTCAAGGACCCTCACCAACAATATCGAACACTGAACAAATACAGTGAAAAAACTACTGCTGGTGTTGTTTTGTCTAAGCAAGAGTACATCTGACAAATATATAGCAATCACTACATCCTTTTACATAACCAAGGTTGTTTCTTTACACCATTCCTTTTTAATACTCAGTATGTAGCGCAAAATGCAGAACAGACCACTAGACATAGTATTGTGCAGATTGTGCTGAACTTAAAACATCAAAGTAAGTGTAGGGCCTCCCTGTTTTTAAATACCATGTGTAAAGTTCCTATCTCGAGGTATGGTGTTAAAGTCCATTTAAAACTGATTGACAAAGTGCCATGGCATGAGCTCGGACATCTTCATTGTCTACTATTCATGATTCACACAATCAAGAACTCATTTGTATTGTTCATGTTGGTTTGCAGCTTAGTTGTTGACAAGTATCCTCATTATTTCCAGTGTGCGAATATCGATGCAAAGTCGTTAATTGAATATAGAAGTCCAGTTTCCACCCTTGCTGAAACTAGGCTAGAATTTTCATGCTCGATTGTGTCGCCACCTGTGGCTATTACGAGTTATGTCCCTGCTATTGACCAATAATGTAATAAAAATGGCCCTACCCCGTGAAGTGCATCAAATCACTTCAGCACCTGACTAAAAACATGAAAGGATTTGCAAAATATCTGTTGACACCCAGATGGCCTGGCATGGTACACATGCTTTGCAAATCCTTCAGTCGACCGACATCTGCATGTTGAAATCAATGTTGTTTACAACATGTACAAACTGGATGTCAAGTTTGTTATACAATTTTGACTGGATTATGCATAAACTATTTTTTGATAGGCATTTAGGAGTTGGAGTACTAAGTAAGGTTAAGATTTATGGCTGAACCACTTCTTTAATACAATTAACAGTGACATTTCGGTGTAGGTACTTACACCATTGTCAAGCAAGTGATGATGATAACGGTGTTAGAACCTACACCGAAACGTCACTCTTAATTGTAATAAAGAAGTTGTTCATCCTTAAATGTTACCCTTACTTATATGCATAGACATGTTAGTCCAGGAAAATGTAACTCCAGAATTCCAGCCATGATCGGCATGGGTGGAAACTTGATTTTTTATAGTCAGTTAATGCCCTTGCCTCAGGAAGATGTCCATATGATGGTTACATGTAAACAATTAATTATGGCCCAGACAAACCAGTGGTTGATACGATGACCAATCTAATCCCACTAAGTAAAGTAAATGTGCAATCAATCAAACTACCAACCCTATCCATCCAATACATTTAAGTCACTTCTTACAAGGAAAAGATACTTGGGCCCAATTTCATCCACACAGAGCTGATTATTACAAACTTGTGTTTTATTAGAAGTGATTCCGTCAAATTGGTAATACTCAGACCTGACAAGCAGTGAGAGCCTTTGACTGTGGATTGTTACCTTTGGTATCTCCTGGGGAACAAGCTTCTTGGAGGACTTGACATTGTTCTGATTTGATGAGCTAGATGATGCAACAATTGGTCTCATCATCTGCAGATAAAAAGACAAATTGATGCAAAAACGTCATAAACGTCAATTGTATAAATGTTTCCAAGTAAAATTGAACTGAATATGACGAAAACACACGTACAAGCATGACAAGCAGGGAACTAGTTCATTTCACAAACCGATAATGGCCAAGTAGTAGGCGAGGTGAAATGGGGATTAACATTGCATTCAAGATTATGGCACTTACATAGCAACGTGTGTGTATGCGTGTGTGACTGCTTGGCAATTTTATAGTGTGCCACACCACTGAGATGCCTTGCTGCAGTTAAACATGAATACCCCACTCAGACAAAGTACTCCGAGCCAACCAGTCCTTGTTTTAGCCCCTAGACAGGGTAACAAAAAGTACCATCTCTTAACATCTATTAATATGCACGGCCGGGGATCAAAACCTGGACCTCCTGCTGACCGGGCGGGAGCTATACCACTAGTTCACTGAGGTGACTGACAAGAAGTAGAATTCAATACATAAGAAATACCGATAACTTACTGGAGGTGGTGCCATCATTCCCATGCCCATTGGCATCATGCCTGAAACAAAACAAAATTAGCAATGAAGGCAGGGGAAGATACGAAAGTGCAGACCTGGTAGTAGGATTTCAGTTATAGAAATTTTGATCTTGGTTGTCCTGTACACAGGGCATTTTAGTTTATTTTATCTTCTAATCTGAAGTTAATAATCTAAACACATGTAGAATAATAGGTTAAATGGTACCTGAAATATGGCATGGTAGAAACAGAGTAAAACATATTTCAGTTATCAATATTTTTTCAAGGCTTCAAGAATCATTATAAAAATCCACTTGCCCAGGGTTAGATCTAGGCTGCATTTCTGCGACATTGATGCATTAGTGTAATAATTAATGCATCAAAGCTGAATATCGTGGGCCGTAGGGTGCAAGCATATGTGTGATGTCTAACTAATAATAATGATAACTAACACACTTTCACTTTCCATTTAAAACTTATTCCAAGTTTTACATTAACTTCAGTTTGTAATCCTTTGCCCCCAGACTGATTCATAGCTTTCTAATGACCAATGAAATTTTTTCATAAAGCTGTGTCATTCTGAGAATGTACAGTAACAAATATCATTGTCCTGTTTGAGATCAGTGTTTTCAGCATCATGCCCTTATTATTGTTCATGACACGATGATATTATATCAGTGTTCCTGTTTACTGGTAACTACGAGTAAAATTTGACTTGCATCAGAGATTCATATGACTATAAGTCCCTGTGGACCGGCAAATAAAGCACCCCATACATCTTTGTTGTTGAACAAAACATCCATGAAAATCAATATCATGAAAATCAATATCATGAACATAGTATATTTTTCAACTGAAGTCCGCTTGTCTGTTATCATCAGGCTTTTCCATTGTCTATTTTGTCTACATTGAACATGTGGAAAGAATTAAGAAAAGGAAATTTTCATAGTTTATTTGTACAAAGTCAGGTAGTGTTTTTGTTGCCAGTCCACCGGCACTGAGAGTTTCAAAAACCAGCGGGAACACTATGTATGTTGTATAAACATGTTTAATCAAATGTTAATGTCTTATGTTTACAATGTTGTCTTGTTTTTTTCAACAAAAGGTCTGTGCAAGGTAAGGGTGTTTTCCAATTTGCTTCAACATGTGGAAATGGTCAGACATTGCACGTTTGTGACAGTTCAATGAGTTGTGTCTTGGGGATGGGGGGTGAGGTTTATGGTAGGTAGTATTGCACCCAGATCAGGTGGGTAGCAGGGAATGTGGAAGCTCTGCCCAATTTTTTTAAAAGTACTGATTTAACTTTATTTTTTTACTGTAGTAACCCACACTGATAGACTAAGTAGACTTAATATCTAAACATGCTGTTTGAACAGATACATCTTACAGCATTATATGTAGTTACACAAGTTTCTTGTGATTTTCATGATTACAGGCACCCCATTAACTGCATGCCCCACAATATTCATAAAAAGGCCTACAATATTCATGAAATTTTGATTTTGCGATATAAAATTAAACCATCTCACTGTTTAAGGTCAACTATTTAATGTTTGCGACAAATGACTATGTTATCCCACAGTCTGCCAATTTCGATCGCAGAAACAACATATTTACATACAATAGTAAATAACACTAACTATGCCTTATTATGAGCAAAAATGACATTTATGATATATGTTACCATTCTTTTACATTTATCAAACTATTGTTCGTTTCAAGGCGTCAATATTGGTAACAAGATCAAGGCTGCTGTAAACATGGTAAATAATGATGAGTTAATGCAATCTGGCATTCCACAATTGATTTTGTCGACTACATAGGGAATGAATTCTTTAAATAAATATAATGAAGTAGATTAAAAGCATCAAGCCAGATAGTTACACCGAACACTCAATATAACTATAGCATCATAACAGGCCCAACATCTTATTTCAGTACACATCTGTTTATCTACCTTGGGCATCAGGAAATGGATTTTTTTTAACCTGTTTATATTAATAAATTACAATTTATTGATACAACTAGCATGACTAGAATAACAAATGAGTAACATACCCATAGGAGCAAAGGCATAGCCTGATTGATGCATCATTCCCGGGCCCATAGGAGGCATTCCTATGGGCTGTCTTGATGGGAAGGACATGATTAATATCTGCAAAAGTCAAGAAATTATCAGAGAAGAAACTTAAAGGATGAAGAATCAGAGTCTTAATAAATTATCCATTACTGTATTCAGGCTGACATACTTGTAGTTCACTCCACATGCTGCCATCTTCCCGAGGCAAGAGAGTTAACTGACTTTAAAAATCCAGTTTCCACCCTTGTCGAACTAGGCTGGAATTCCTAGGCTTGATCGTAGCGCAACCAGTGGTTATTATGAGTTATGTCCCTTCTAAGCCTCTCCTATGGAACAATCAGATTCCACCTCTCGTATCACTTGCATTTGTTTTAAACAAAATGGGGGTGCCAAGTCAAGACAATCTGATCGATAATCAAGACCTATATTGTGATAAAACAGGTCTTACATCGCTAAGTGCATCAAATCACAAGAGCACCTTGATCAAAAACATGAAAAGACTTGGAAAATATGTGTTGATGAGTTGGTGGTGCACATGCTTTGCAAATCCTTCAATCGAGCGAAATTTGCACCACAGTTTACTAACTGGATTTCGATCTGCGATTTTGATTGGACTATGCATAGACCCATTAGTCCAGCCAAAATGTAACTCCATAATACCAGGCTAGTTCGAAAAGGGTGGAAACTGAACTTATATAGTCAGTTAACTCTCTTGCCTTGGGAAGATGCATGCTGCAGGTTATAATGTATTATCTGATCATGTATTGGTTGTTCATAACTTAGCTAGAGACAAATGGAACAAGGATTTCCAAGAGAGTTCACAATTTTAGTAAGAATTCAAATCAGTGAACAGTGTTAAAAATTAACATAAGTCTGCTTGCAAAAGAAAAGTATAATTCATGAAGGACTAGTGACATTTGTGCTACCAACTTTATTCATTAGGTACATGACAACTCTGTATCAGGTCACAAGGAAATTTTTTAAATTGTTTTCACCATGATCATGAAGTTCACCTTCCTGTTTGTTTACAAACATGTAAACACTCAATATCATAACAACGCTCAGGTGAAAACCATTTGTTTGTGTTCGTCAAAATAGTGTAAACAAAAATCTCAGTATGACAAGCAAATGTATTGTTGTCATTACTGATGTGAACCCATGAACATACTGACATTTCTTTATTAATTCCCAGACAAAGTATATTTCACTTTTCTTCTGCAGTGTTCTTCAAATATTTCTTTTTACTTGACCCGCCACCATCATGATCATATGAGAACAAACAGGCAGTAGTGGCAATGACGAATGTTATATCAATTTCATAAAAACCAGGATGTGCACACCATGAAAAAACAATCAGTAAAACAGAATCGTAAAATGTGACACCTCCAATCATTGTCATCATTAAAAAACAAACAAATGTTTGTGACATGCGAACCTTTATATAGGCCTAAGTCATGTGTCACTTTTCTCATATCCCTAGTTCTGAGCAAAATATGGATTTGGGTCTTAATCTGTAGTTTTGCTAACATGTGAATATTTAAACATTTCTATATCTCAGATCGTTTTCAGTAAAACTTCAACTTGTGACCCCTTCCTCAAAATTTATAGTATACAAAATCATAACCTCTGGCTAGAAGTATTAAAAAATAATTTATGTAATACTTAAACATGATGTGGAACAACAAACGTTCGTTCCGGTTTGGGGACCCAAATACTGCAGTCTATCCACAAGTCACAATGTATAATCAAATTCCAACTCACCTGAACAGTGAATATCTAGGCCTAACTCACACATATCTAAAATAAATAGTTGCGTTTAAGCATATAAGTTGCTTATACCAACGAGACCCAATATAATAAACAAAGCCTCCACGTGTTTAATCAATAATCATGATATTTTGTGAACTAGATCATGGTCATGGTCTGTGAGCATTAATTTTTCATAATTTTTTAATATTATTAATGTCATAAAGGAGTCGAAATCTGATACGCATATTCTCACTACAGATAGCTGGAAGCAACATAGCTGACATCGTTGATAGCAATATGAGGGAGCTGATCATTAAATTTCGGATCATAAGAATAGATCGAGCGTTAGCCCCTAGCAGCTTATCGAAAATGAGAGGCATGGCGACAAGCGAAATCGGGACATCCTTATAAGAATACAATACCCAATTCCAAGTTACGAACACATGCATCATAAACTGAGGCAACTAACTTAGAATCAACGCAAAATCACATGTTAAGACATTTACTCCATAATTACCTTTTAAAGCAACATCAAACCGGCAAAGTAACCACGATTACTGCGACTTCGACCAAACACAACAAATGCAAATGGCTGCACCACTGCAGTTGTGACGTCACAAGCACATGCTCAAGGGACATAACCCCCGGTCCAAGTAGCCTTAAAACCCACAAGAAAGTGAAATTATTTTTCTATTGTTGTCGGGTAGGTTCAGTGCATATGATCGTTCACATGTGTCTTTAACTGATTGTATACCACATGTATTGCTAAATGTAAATATCATCTATAACAACAACCTTTATTTCGTGAACAACTTCATGTAGGTTTATCGCCATCTTTGTTCAGAAAGTAAAATACATTAAGTGTTATTTTTGTCTTAATTAATACTAAGGGAAAATAGGGGATATTTTATTGTTTAAACAAAGAGGTGATACAAACTTTATTCGTCTGAAATATATAGAATACATATGCTTTTAAAGAGGTATAGGAGCGAAAGAGTTGAGTTAACGCTGCACTGAACAACATTTCAGTTACATCATGGCGTGTCAGTTAAGTGTCGGAGGAGAGCCTGACGTGATGGAGGCCTTAAACGTTTACCTTTGTGAAACTCAGGAGCACGAGCAAAGTGTTGACAACCCAAAAATCACATCCGCTGCGAATACATCATGCTGCCACGCCTAAGGGGAGCAACTCTGCCCAGCGAATTGCGTCATCTTCGACTTCCGACACCCAGAGAGGTTCAGGATTTAAGTTATGACGTTGTTTATAAGGCAAGCACAACGACCACCGCACACATGGGTTATAGCGAAAACGGCACCTCAGCAAAACGTCACCGGGCGAAAACGGCACCTCGACTCCTTTATGGTTGAGCCTGTATTAAGTAATTTGAAACATGAACAAATAATATTTGCGTTCGAAAATATGTTTATTTAAAACTCCAATAACAATGTGTGTTTATGGAAGTTTTCTTTTAATTGTCCCTTAACCGAGTGTCTTTAGCATCTTCGGATTGTGTAACACATATGCACTGTCTTAGCATTTGTGTGTTTGTTTGTTTGTTGTTTAACGCCGCACTCAGCAATATTCCAGCTATATGACGGCGGTCTGTAAATAATCGAGTCTGGATCAGACATCATGAGCATCGATCCACGCAATTGGGATCGATGACATGCATCAACTAAGTCAGCGAGCCTGACCGCCCGATCTCGTTAGTGGCCTCTTACGACAAGTATAGTCGCCTTTTACGGCAAACATGGGTTGCTGAAGACCTATTCTACCCCGGATCTTCACGGGTCCTGATTACGAATGCAATGATGTATAACACATATATGATAATGTATCATGTTTGAATAGGTTTACCTAATTAATAAATCTAATTGTTTTCTTCACTCCCGATGCCGATGCGACGTAAAATGTTAACTCACTCACACTTCGCTCCTGTAAATGAGTAAGTGTATATTTAAAAATATAAATCAATTGTATACATTGAACTGGTCTGGGTTTTTAGGTATGAAATAATCAAACACAACAATCTAGTACCGGCACGATTCTCATTCGATGTCTTTCGCGATGTCCTGCAAAAATCGTGTTCTTGTAATTCATTTCAAGTTAAATTGATTATCAAATATGTGTTTTTAGAATACATATATATCTATGCCCCGAACAGAGTTAAAGGGACAGATACAGACTATAACCTAATCCCTGTATTTTGTCATTTGATCAGGATATTGTCGAAAAAAATGCATTGTCCCTGAAATTTTGTGAAAAAAATAATTATGCTTAAGACCGTTGACATTTTGTTTTGTCTGCCACAAATATTACATCAGAGACCATATAATCTATTATATGGTCTCTGATTACATTGTTGCAAGGTGTTTTTCTTAAAACTAGGTTCATAGATTTGCTTTAAAACATATCTGGTTTTGCAGCTGCAGCTGATAAAATATCTGATATCCAGACAAAACCCCAGCCCCCACCCCAAAGAATCAAGCTCATTCCCAGCGCGTGACACCTTCGTTACACTCTCGGTAAGCTCCGCGAACGGGCTATCGCTGCGAGGAACTTGCCCCAAGAATATAAAATGTTCGGTCCCTAAGCAATTCTTTTCCACAAACTATACATTCAGCAAACAAAGCACAAGCGTGATGGGCAGCAACCAGTATAATATGTCGTTAACACAGCACATCTTCTCTTACAGTTATTGCATCTAACTAATACACAACTGAAATGTTAAACAACATTCATTTACATGACACTAACTAATCTGGCATTGGGAAAATAATAAAGTAAACTGATTTAACATGAATTATTCCTTATTCTTTAGAGGATATTGTCATGTTAATTTCCCTTCCTAAAATGTAGATTAATATATGCCTTCACCAAATAACACAATCTGTTTAGGCATCAATTCACATTTAGGGCATGATGTATATCTTCACAATCTGTGAATGAATGAAAGCTTTATTCTGTAAATAGGCCACCAACCCTTTACACGATGAAAGTACAAGGCGTTTCAAAACGGCTTTGCGCCACACGCACAGTACAACACTACAGTATTATATTGATGGACATCAGTGATTTTCAGTTATCAGGAGCAAGGAACCTGTTTCTTTTCTTTACAGCTGAGAAAAATATATTTCGCCAGGACATTAACAGTTGTAACATGTTTGTTTGTTTGTTTGTTGTTTAACGCCGCACTCAGCAATATTCCAGCTACATGACAGCGGTCTGTAAATAATCGGGTCTGGACCAGATAATCCAGTGATTGACATCATGAGTATCGACCCATGCAATTGGTATACGAGGACATGCACCAACCAAGTCAACGAGCCTGACCACCCGATCCCGTTAATCGCCTCTTACGACAAGCATAGTCGCCTTTTCCGGCAAGCATGGGTTGTTGAAGACCTATTCTACCCCGGATCTTCACGTGTCGTAACATGAAAATAACTAAACAGTTGTATTCGTTTACTTTCTGATGGATACTGCAATAATAATTAGGAAAAGTATGTTGCCTAAGATCGTCATAACATGTCACAAAAACCAAAGCTAAACAATAAATATAAAACTTTATATGCCCAGCAATCAAAAATCTTCCCAGCAGGACGATACTGACATAAATAAAGAAGTTTTAATATATTCTTATCATTTTGAGACTTCAGTCGTCACCAATATTTAATTATTTTCACATTCTGATTAACCTTCAGAGAAAATCTTCACAATTCACACTTTGCCACACCATTAGGAACAGACTTATGTGTGAAACAGCTTACAGAATGTATCATGGATAATCTTTACAATAATCGCTCATTGTATATATGAGGTCAGGTGAAATTGGGTTCAACGTCGCGTTCATTATTGCACTTACGTATATATAGCGACGTGCTAGACTAACATCTAGTCTCTGAAATGAACATATCGTACAGAGAAAACAGTTGTTCAGTTATCTTAATAAAAATATAATAAAAGGGAGCCCAGTGACTCTCTTCATTTTCAGATACTGCAGTAATCTAGACTTGCCAAACATTATAGACTTGCATGGGCTGCATTTGATATATATTTGTATCAGGGTCTGTAAGACAGACAAAGCGACGTATAGCATACGTGTGTGTGTGTGTGTGTGTGTGTGTGTGTGTGTGTGTGCGTGTGTGTGTGCGTGTGCGTGTGTGTGTGTGGCTGCTTGTACTATTCCGGACAAATGCCAATTTCATACTGCTAGCCAGCTAAGGTACCATGCCGCGGTTTAACATGGATACCCCATTATGACACACTTTTTACGACTTTTGGTATGACACGACGAGGAACCGAATCCCCGATCTTCCGCTCTCCGGACAGACGCTCTTCCACTAGACCACGGAGGCGGTCAATTGTAAATATGAAACGTCTGTCATCTGACAAATATGTTCTGCTTCATAAGCTATATTTATCATAAGTCGTGATATATTATGTTTATATATAAGACAGCTACTCAATAAATCGCAAAGAACAATGAAGAACGAAGCGTGGTTTATTTCACGATAAAACGTTGTTCTATCTTGACGTCATTTCTGGAGATTCGATTATGCGCGCCCAACTTGATGATGTCACACACTCTTCAAAAGAAGAAACGCACATGTAGATCTTTATTAAATTTATTGTACCTAATAAAGTCTTTGTATATTTGATTGAATATCATAGGTAAAAATATGAAATTTTGAAGGTCGATTGTCACATGTTGTCATTGTACAAAGGCATTGAAAACTGTTCATTTTCATGTCACATAAGGCCACAACGTCGCGCAGAAGTCAGTATCTCGTGTGACCGCCCCGGGCAGCAATAACGGCTCTGCATCTCATCGGCACTGCCTGGATAAGTGTACGAATTCTGTCCTGCGGAATTCTGCGCCATTCTGCTTGTCACGCTTTGGCCGCTTTGGGGTGTTTGCGGCGTGTTCTGACGTGGACGTACACGTCGATCGAGTTCATCCCAGAAGTGTTCGATCGGGCTGAGATCTGGAGATCTCGACCCCCTGGGCAAGAGGTTTATGTTGGCATTACGAAGGTAGTCTACCGTGTCACGAGCTGTGTGCGCTGGAGCTTTGTCCAGTTGAAACAGCTCCCTCTGGCGGTCAATGATTGGAAGAAGGTGAGGTTGAAGAATTTGATTCATGTAGCGATTTGCTGTCAAATTTCCCTGAACCACAACCAAGGCAGATATCGGGGTGTAGGAAATTGCGCCCCACACAATGACACCACCGCCACCGAAATTGTCGAATTCACGTACACAATGTGGTGCAAAACGCTCATTTCGACGACGATAAACACGTTGTCCTCCATCTCGGCGGTGAAGAAGAAATCGTGATTCATCGCTAAGCCACAATCGTCTCCAGTTTCTTAAATTCCAAGGCTGTGAGGAATCGCACCAACGCAAAGGTCGCTGTCGATGGATCTGTTGCAAAACAGGGACGGCAACTGGTCTTCTGGGTCGGATTCCAGCCTCGCGAAGATGGTTCCTGACAGTCTGGTCCGATATCCTCCTCAAACCAGGGATGCGTCCTGCAGACTCCGTAGCCGTGGCATTGTGATGACGTAGGTGGAACAGTCGAATGTAGCGATCCTGTGCAGGGGTGATAACTCTTGGTCGGCCGGTTCTCGGACGGTCTGCAGT